CGGATCGCCCGGACCGCCAGTCGATTAGCTCGGAGCCCCCGAGCGAACCGCCGCCGCCGCACCCGTTGCTGGGGACACTAGGACGGCGAGATTCCCAAGGTAATAATAATAGAAACAGTATGACGAACATATTAAGGGGATACGTTCATAAAAAAATGATATTTTGAACATTAGAAATATTAAAAAATTGTCACAAATAAATTATTTAGAGTATCTCATTTCCCAGATATCTTACATATGTTTATATATGTGTCGTTAGTTGATAATATATTATATAATATAGTATATACACACTTTCTTTTGATAAAGAAAAAGCTTCGAATATGAATCAAATTATAGAGTAAACGGCAAAACCTATTCTGACTGCTGTGAAAATAAATAGAATATCAGTACAGCATTTTTTGATCAATTAAATATTTTTACCTCACACTTGAAACCAGAAATTGAAGTAATTAAAGTAATTAAATCTGTGTGTTTTATTGCAAATATTTTCCTTTTCGAAATTACTGCCTAATAGTAAAAATTCATATATCATCGCTGAGACGACCAAAACACAATAATTTGGATGTTGCTTTTTGCAATTTGAAAATAAAATGTCAGCTACTGATGACTAATGAGACAAAATTCATTCTAAATCTTTATTTCTTTGACAATTATATACGAGGTCAACCGAGTGGTAAAAATCCAATCTTAATATTCTTAATATATGGGCAATAAAGTAAGAAGCAAATATTTGTATACGGACTATCTAGAACATTTCTAAATGAGCAGTTGTAAATATTAATAATATTTCGCCTGATCATACAATAATCGCTTTACTTCATAATTTACAATTAGATAATTTATAAAAATTTCAAATACCGAATTCAACAATATTTTAAAACAAAAATTGAAAAAATTATATTTTATCAAATAATGCAAGTTTAGTTAGTCTCTTTAGTCATTAAACGCACTGTCCGAAAATAATAAATGAACAAGTATTGTTTATATCTTGAATGATGAATTATGAGTACAATTTTACAAGACAATCTAAACCCTTTGGGTATGGGCGCATTGCCATACAGAATCGGCCCCACCCTGGTATTTAAATAATTTATACGCCATTTTATAGGTTTAAATGATAAAAACAAATATACCAATTTTCAACTTTGTACCTCATCTTATGGCCGAGATACCAGCAATTCGCCATTGTGCACAGTTCAATATGCCAAAAGTTGAATTAAGAGAAATTGATAAATATCAATAACGCGTTCCAGTGAACTCGAAACATGATATCAAGGACGCACTTATATTTTATTTCAAAGTGTTTTTGCACAAATATTTATTGAAGTTTCACGTAATCGTAATCGGAATTCCATATGATACATATTCGCGGAATTTTAAAAATAAATACTTCTGATATATATATATATATATATATATATATGTGTGTGTGTGTGTGTGTGTTTATATATATATATACTGTTCGCAATAAAATCTCGCAAATGCACAATATAAGAGAATTATTTTCCATATAATTAGAACTACGTCGATATTTTGATATGGCATAGTGAATATTAAACTTTGATCTATAATGTTGTAAAAATAATTTTTAATCAAGCTTTTTTAACTCTATATTTTAGCATCAGAATATATATGATTTAGAATTTGGATCATCGGACTCCTATGAACAAAATTGAAAATATAATAAACATTTTAAATCAAATACCGACCACTATATTGTGGATACAGGAATTTCAACAATTCAATATTGTGCTTGTATCGAAGGCTTTGAAATAAACTATCAAAAATTTAATGTAGTAAACTAGGAAAAATTCAATGGAATTCCTTGAAGATATTTCTCTATATAATACTGGTAGTTTTCATATTGAAACTACTTTTCGCGGGTTTACAATATTTTAGGCCTTTATTTAAACCTTGAATTAAAACATCATACAAAATTTCATTAAAGTCCTCAAAGAAATCAATAATCAATTACGAAGAAACGCCGATCATTACCAAAACGTAATCCCAAAAGGGTTCCAAATGGTATCTTTCGAAAATGTTTGCATTTTCAAAATTCATTCAGCATTTTTGGCAAAAACATGTGCAAAAAATTCTGCACATATTCACTACTCATAAAGAAACAACTCGGCCGATCATCTCGCAAAACTAATCAACGTTGGTATCGAGTTTCATCGAAGTCCTTTTAAACATTTGAAATCGGTGCAGCCGGTTTTGAAAACATCAACCAAAAGTCAAATTGTGGTTCACACACTAACTATCCAAATATGTGGATTTTATCCAATTTTGAAGTTATAGAACGACGATTTGGAATGACTAACGTCGATAAAGCATACAATTAGCAAATTGAATTTTCTGGCGATGAGCAAAAGATTGCCAAAATTAGCAAATATCAAAATAAAATTGAATTGAGAAGTAACGTTTCCTAATATTTTCCACTGACCTTGTGCATTGCGTTGTTTCAGCTTCGCAGTCGTCAACCGTGAGCTCGGCCTCGGGTGCGATTGGCAGCGGGCGCGGGCGGCCCCGGTCACGGCATCGGCATCGGCCCGCGCGCCCCGTCGCTCGGCCAGCGTCAGCCCTCGCAGCAAGCCTCCGCTCCTGAGGATTCAGAGGACACAATGAAAAACTTGCGGAAAACGTTCGCCGGCATTTTCGGCGACATGTAAACATCAAGCTGACGCGGTGACCTGGGGGATCATTTATAGCGCATAAAATCGCATTTAAAACGTTGTTTGTATTAGAACTTTCATTTGTTTTCATGTGGTTTCAAATTAGTTTATGGTTCATGATGTTAGGACCATGAGCACGCAACTATTTATTTTGGGATGTTTTTAAATTTCTGAATGGAGCAAAGTATGCGTTCATAGCATTTTGACTGAGAATTTAAAATACGTAGTTTATTATGTATATAAAATGTAACAACTGTGATTATAGAAATAGTTTTATTCAATCGTGCACGGAATGATGTCGCAGTCTTATTCTAATAAAACAATTTATTGAAAATAATCTGTACATTTGAATATAATTTGTAGTTTATAATAGCACAATTGCATGCATTTTAATAATACTGAAATTTACTTAAATTAATCACATTATACAATAACGCATAAATAGATAATTCTATCTTCAGTTTTTATGTTACCTTATCGATAGTAAAAATTACACATTGGTTTATGTTTAACGACAAACCATAAACAAACAACAACTTCTTGTAAATATACATGCAATCATCAATTCAATTGTTTTTGTTTTATTATGTTCTAATACAATCAATGATCAAATGAAATGCACCTTCTGACATTGGCTTTACATGTGTGAAAAACATATTTTACTTAATGTTATAAATATTTAATGTGTTAACTTCTTTACTATGATAAAATTTGTATATGTAGAATTTTCAAATACGTATATGCATACACAACAAATTGTTGTCAACAATGTTAGAGTAGTATCTAAGTCGATATATACAAATATATATACAATTATACATATATATATATATATATATATATACATATAAAAGAGTATGTGGTTATTAAAATAATCTTGTTTCATTGTTGCAGCAACTCGTGTAACTAAAACTAGTATCAAATATGCACTGTTAAGGGTAGAGCAGAATAACCAATGTATAAACCTCTAAGCATTTTCAAAAATAATAATCTTTTATAAGGTTCCTACTCTATAAAGTATAGAAAAATTTAAAACAAGTTAAAATTCGCCAATATTATCTGAAACTATGGTTAAAACATTTTAGATAAACAAAAAAAATTACATAATTGTATTAGTAAATTCATATGAATATCACAATTAGTTTGAAAATGAAGTTTAAATTCACGTTTATGTTTTTTTGTATCATACGAATAACTCACTTTTAGACAATTCGCGAAATAAAAACTGTTGGTTTCATAATAATAATGAATATATACCAATACTAAAAAATTCAAATTAGAATAATCGACATGTGTAAACGCAAAATATAATAGAAAATTTTACTCAAGATTTGTGTGCTTGCAAAATGATTACATACTTCAAACTCGTTTTCACTGAAGAAATAATTGTGAATAAACTGCATCAAAAACTTCTTTATAATAATAGAAATTGATTAACTATTCTAATGTTGCGAAATTCGGTCCTGGCAACATTGAATCATTTAACAAATGTTGGCAAATGATAGTCGGATATCGAAAAATACTATTGCAAGAGTTGAAAATACCATTGAATAATTAAAACCACACTAGTATTTAATCTTGTTATTTGTAGGTTTATCTTATTCCACGCATGTTATAAAAATTGTTGAATTTAAAAACGACTCATGTATAATAATTCGCTTAAACATTCGAATATATAGATCAATACTACCTGGTTGATATAAGAAATACTGAAACTTAATTTAAGCCGTTGAAATGACCCATAAAACCAGAATCGTGATGTATTCTTATACTTTATACTTTATATATATTATATATATATATATATATATATATATATATATATATATATATGCCTATTGTAATATAATCACATTTTCCAAAGTCATTATTGAAGTCCAGGCAATATAGATCTATATTCGAAAAACGAAACAAAACTGAATACAATTATATGGCGGTGGCCATAAAATAAAAGTTAATAATAAATGTAACAAGCTATTAAATATCAATATATAACACCATGAAAATATTGAATTACTATACGTCAAAATAATATATAAACTATGTTATTTATTAGAAATTGTTAAATTTAAAATTGCTTCTCACTCATTGCTTCTTATGAAAGTTTATTTAAAATTGTTTTTAAGATGTGTTTTTGAAATATTTGTAGATTTATATATGAATTTCAACCCTTTTGCTACGAGCGTCGCCAATAGACGACATCCGCTTGGCAACTTGTGTGTACGAGTGTCGCCTATAGACAACGAACCTTGCTCAATATTCATCACACTATTTCATTATTGTGGTTTTTAGTTTTGTACAAGTGCAATTTTTAATTGTCAAATACATTTTTATGGATGATGATTGAAAAATCTTAAAATATGTTAAGTAACAAATAATTGGAGGTCTTGCTGGCTCGTACACCAGTTTCACTTCTGCGGAAAACACTCTCGTAATGTAAGGGTTAAAATAGTTTTTAATCGTTATATATTCTTCGAAACTCATACAACATATCGCATTAATTCTCTTTAACCTATTAATAAATTTATTTTAATACGTATTCAAATATTAAGTGTGCAAAAGCAATATAAATACTAAAATAATATACAATAAAATAAGTGCAATAAAACTGTTGAAAACTAAAATTTCATCTGGTTTAGCATTTTTAAATGTATTTATATATACCGTTAACTATTATTGTTAATTTTTAATATTTCACGGCAATGGCTGCTTTAGAATAACACCTTACTAATTCTCTTGTATATGGCATAATTCCATAAAATTACATTTTTTTTGTAAAAATCGCGGTTCAGATTCTTTACGGACGTAAACACCAAATATTTTTAATAATGTTGATTTTTTATCAATGGCAAACATATGTCATCACACATTGACATCGGGCTGTCCGAGGCAGGTATTAAACCTGAAGCTTCTGATTGAAGTTCCATAGCTCTAATCACTAATCCACGGACGAGCTGTAACACCAAATATAAATCGAGATCAAAAACTATTATTATTAATTTCAAAATCATTTATAATGAGGTTCAAGGAGAATTAAAGCGGTTTACTGCCTACTTTCGTTACATAGAATATATTTAAAATTTCTGTATATTACGAGTATATTCTGTATATTACTGTATATCTCGTATATAGTGATATTTGAAATGTAAATCTAAGGTCCTATGACGTGCATTAATTGAGCATGTACAAAAACTCTCAAAAGTACTAATTATACATTATCAAAATGACAAATAACTATTTAGTATAAGATTTGTATTCATTCCTTGATCACATGCTATAAAAATCCTAGAATTAAATCATTCGAACAGCAAAATGATTCTTTGCTAACAAAGTAACAATATTTCGAAGGATTACAGTTATGCAATATACAATATTAAAATCATTTATAGCTTCTCTAAAACAAAGAGAAAAACAGTTGAATAAATCAAAGTCATAAATAATTACAAGCTTGTCACGATAAAGGTCACTAAACGGATAATATTATAAGATGTATGTGAGCAAATGAATAGTAGAGTACGACATATATTTGAATTTTATTGTAGGTATTACGTTGAAATAAAAATATGCAAAAATATTATCCAGTTTCATTGTAAACCATTTTTGAAGTACGCATTTAAGTGCACTGATATGTTTAATTCTAAATAATAAATGTTTTAAAAAGTGAGATTTATTATAGACGTTCCGGAACCTACTTCAACGGAGAAATACGAAATAAAAATAAACTAGGCGTAAATGGCATTTAACCCTAAGCCAACTTGCATAAACTTTTCGACATGTGTAAATAATAGATTTACTTAAGATTAAGAACTCAATATATTAATTTAGGAGAAATTTATAAGTATACCAAGTTGCTGTAGGGCTAAACTATTTAGCACGATTCCCAAATGATATCGTTCGAATCGTTTTTGAATTTTTAAAATGGATTCAGAAGTTTTTGATTAAATTTGAATGAAAATGAAGGGCTTCGTCGGTCACCGCGCAAACAATTTTTGAAACCGAAATTTAATATAATTTTCGCGTACTTTGTCTGTTTTGATTCGACCCAGCCCTGGTAAATTAGTCCGCTCGCTACTTATTTATCGTACGACAAATTGGAAATTGCGATTGTGAGGCCGAGTAACGTCTAATGGTAAAACAATCATTGCATAAGAGGAGTTTATGATACGATAAAGATTATATTTACTTGATTATACAATGCTATTTTATATCTGTATTCATCTATTCATCCGATGATTATCTTCGTAGATATTAGATGCATGTATTAAAACATTAATATGAATCAAAACAATATAACACGGTTACAAATTTGACCAGCGAAAAAAATCTTTTGAAAGTAACAAATAATCCAATTATATATATTATGATTTTAGAAATATGCATAAATATACAGGAAGATTTACACTCATTATAGTAGATTTATATACTTGTTCTATATATAAAAACAAAAAAAGACCTCAATTTACTAGTTTATCTCAGATTTTTAAAACATAGTAAAAACTGAAATATTTAAATTGACAAGCCTTTGTTAAAATGTGCGAATTGTGAATATTTGATTTAGCAGCCCAATCGTCAAATTAATAAAAAAAAATTTAATAAAGAATTTTTCTATATTAACCCTATTTTTTAATTCGACGATTGAGATGCTAAATACTTCAAATATGTACCAACGTCGACAAAACTATCAATATATATATATATATATATATATATATATATATGATAAAAATTGTTTCTTGGGCATCCATCCAATAATTAAAAAGAGTTTTAATGCAAAATGTTTGTAACCCTGTTATATTTATTTGTAGCACTGAAGATGGGTCAAATCTGGACCCGAAACGTATGTTCTCTTAATTAAAACATTTTGCATTAAAACTGTTTTTTTAATTATTGGATGGATGCCCAAGAAACAATTTTTATCATATTATTTCACCATCTGAATAAAAACCTCTCGCTTATATATATATATATATATATATATATATATATATATATATATATATGTGTGTGTGCGTGTGTGTGTGTGTGTGTATAAATTCGTATAAAAAAATCGGGAGTTACACAATAAAAATTAAATACCATTGTACAAATGGTTACTGTAATGGTACGAATGGTTTAAAAATTTCTAATAATATGACTATAATATTTAAAGCTAATTGTAAGTAAATGAAACACTAAGTAAATGAAATTACTAATTGTAAAACACTTACAGTTTGATCCTTATATAAAAATAACAACACTATACTCCATGTGCACAATGGTAAAATATTTTTTTTTTTTTAATTTATTTGAACAGCGATCAGAACTTATGGGTTCTATGAGCTGTTGTGATGAATCTCTTACAAACTACGTTTGTTTTTATTGTAGATGGCAACCCAAACAGTTGTCTCATCTCTATGTGCTGAATTTTTATTATTACAATTGTTGTAATAGTGATGACTTTTGTTGTAATAGTGACCACTACAGCTATGCCCACGAAAGACCATTTTCACTTGAAATCATATTTGAAATCTATGATTTCAAGTGAAAATTTGGTATCAAGCTGCTTTGATACCGAACCGACCGAGGTTGGATTCGAACCCGGGACTAGGATTTGCTAGCCCACGTTCTTACCACGGGACCACGGCCGGCCCAATGGTAAAATATATACATTTTGACATCACAAACAACGAATAACAGAATTAAACTTGTATAACAATCATAATGGTGTACTAACTGTTCTGAGTCTAAAATAGAAATGCCATATTCTTCTTAATAAATATATATATATATACGTGGTCTGTTCAAAAAGTACCCGGAATTTTCGTTTTTTCAAAAAAATATTTATTTATTCGTCTACATTAATGTGGTCCCCTTCAAAGTAGTCCCCCCCAGATATAATACACTTATGCCAGCGTTTTTTCCAATTTTCGAAGCACCCTTGATATTCACTTTTTGATATGTCCTTGAGCACTCTCAGCGATTTTCTTCAATCGAGGAAAACCGCCGTCCTTTCATGGGTCTCTTCCTTCAACTTTGGGAATAGGAAAAAGTCACACGGAGCCATATCTGGTGAATTTTTGCACTTTGCAACACTTTATTTCATTTTTTACGCAAAATTTAATACAAATTCTTTGACTTTTCAATTCTTCCATTGTAAAAATCGCCGAGCTCAGAAAAACACGTCGAACCTTAGCGACTACCACAGACAAAGTAAACAGTGAATATAGCTGAAAATTTCATCATACTTTAGGGGCATGTATACCAACACAATAAAAAAAAAAATTGACAATCAGACACTCCAGACCCGCGAAATTTAATTATTAGTAATTCCGGGTACTTTTTGAACAGACCACGTATGCCATGAAGGGACAAACATAAGCACAAAAATTTGTTATTTTCCACTGAATGAAGGTAAGGAAATGTATAGATATCGAATAAACCAATAAACCATTCGTACAAATGTAACTTTAAACTTGAATCATATATATTATATCAATCTCAAATTGAAATTTTGTACATATATAATCATGTTTTTGGACTCACCAATTCGCTTTATCAGCTCAAGGGCTCGCACATGAACCAAAATTCGAAATAAACAGAAAAGTGAAAAGCATCGCAAGTTGTTATTTAAGGTAAATTTAGTATTGTTGGTCATCCCTGTCCCGTGTGTTATGTTGTGTTTGTGAGTTTGTGTTAGACGTCAAGCGGTCACGTTGTAGGACATTCTCATGTCTCATGTAACAAGACTAATGGCCGTTTTTACTAGTCGGACTGTAACCTTATGACCTAGCCATCCGATCCTTTCGGAAATTCGATTCATTTCAGTCGTTTCAATATCAGCAATCTATAGATTATTACCAAATTCAAAAAGTATTCATGAGACATTAACGTCGTATCCATTGTATTTAATGTGTTGTGGGTAATGACAATATTTTAGTGAATTGTGTCGAAATGGCTTTAGTTCGAAATTCATTTAGATTGTTATACAGAGTTATTCCAAAACAACACCTTAAAGTAAGATTTGTTTTTCAATCTTGAAGGTTAATTAACACTTTTTCAAACGAAGATAAATAAACATAAATATTGAAAATGTGTACTCATATGTGTACTAAAACTTTACTACTTTACAATCTAATAATTTAAATAGTAGTTATGTTTCTGTGTTTATTGTTCATTTTTTCTTTATTAAAAATAATATTGTTTCAAATTTTGTGTTTTGGTTTTACGTCTATATAAATAATTTTCCTATATATAATAAATTTTAAGATCAATGTTTTATGATATTTTATTAATAGTGCTCATTGACAAATCAAAAAAAAAGTTGTAATTTAGATTTGCTGAATAATAACACTCATCAAGTGCCGAAACACAAAGAATTGAAAATTAATTTTCAATTTAAGTAATTGGCTACTAATTACATCATATATATATATATATATATATATATATATATATATATATATATATATATATATATATATATATATATATAAAGGTATGAAATATAGTTACTGATACCATTTTCATTTACTACCAGAATGTGTCCTCAAAATCAACTCTTGCAATGCAAGAAAAACTACCGACGGCCACCCAAGCTATTTTTCCAGGAGCCCTGGCTGATTGGACAACAAAAATTGACATTGTGACACCCGAAAATATGACTCCAATGCCTGTATATCGAGTTATGGATCGTACAGGAAAAATTTTAGACGACTCTCAAGATCCATTATTAAGTGAAGATGTTGTCGTTAAAATGTATAAAGACATGTTGCTTCTTAATATTATGGATAAAGTTCTATATGAATCTCAACGGTAAGAAAAATGAGAATGAGATAAGTACAGTTACAGATAAGTTGATGATATTCCTGTTTTTATATACCAAGAATATGCAAAAAATTTAATTGTTGACTTGAAAGTAAACATTTGGTTTTGTGTAGTTGAAATTACTGAAATCTATGTTATGTATTCCAGCCAAGGACGTATTTCCTTTTACATGACAAATTATGGAGAAGAAGCATCTCACATAGGTAGTGCAGCAGGTCTCAGTCCAAAAGATTTAGTCTATGCTCAGTACAGAGAAGCCGGTGTACTGGTGTGGCGAGGTTATACCATACCACAATTCATTAACCAGTGTTATGGAAATCATGAAGATCCTGGCAAAGGACGTCAAATGCCTGTCCATTATGGGGAGAAAAATCTCAACTTTGTTACTATTTCTAGCCCTTTAGGTATACAACTCGTTTATGGAACATAATTTCTTGCTCACAAAATTATTCATTTGATAGGTACTCAAATGCCACAAGCAGTAGGAGCTGCTTATGGTTTCAAAATGCAGCCCAATAACGACCGTTGTGTTATCACATATTTTGGAGAAGGTGCAGCATCTGAAGGTGACGCACATGCTGCATTCAATTTTGCAGCTACATTGGATTGCCCAATTATATTCTTTTGGTTTGTAACACTTACACAGTAATAACTACACACTCTCTCTGTATTTAATTAAAATTAAAGAGTTTCAATTAAGATTTTTGTTAAACATTTCTCTTTAGTCGAAATAATGGATATGCTATTTCAACTCCTACAAAAGATCAATACCGGGGAGATGGTATTGCTGCTCGTGGTCCTGGTTATGGTATATCAACTCTGAGAGTTGATGGTACTGACACATTTGCTGTTTATAATGCAACAAAAGCAGCTCGAGAATATGTACTTAAATACAATAAACCATTCCTGTTAGAAGCTATGTCATACAGGTAATTATGGAATTTATAATGATTAAAGATTATTTCATAATGGATAAATAATTTTTACATAGAGTTGGTCACCACTCAACATCAGATGATAGTTCTGCATATCGATCAGAGGAAGAAGTTAAAGCATGGAATGAAGATGAAAATCCATTAACAAAACTTAAAAACTACTTGTTAGCTAAAGGATGGTGGGACCAAACTAAAGAGGACGATTTTTCCAAGAAGACAAAGAAATTGGTTTTAACAACAATATCACAAAGTGAAAAGAAGCCGAAACCTGAATGGAAAGAAGTATTTCATGATGTTTATTTTGACATGCCGGATCACATTGTGTAAGAATATTCAAAATAGGAAACGTTCCTAATTCAAACTTGATTAATTTCATTAATTTTTCTATTCCAGCAAACAAATGAAACAAATGGAAGAACATGTAGAAGCCTATAAGGAACATTATCCACTCAATAATTTCAAATCATCATAAATTTGATGTTATCTATGAAAACATTCCACTTCTGTAAATATATCTCAAAGCTCATACAAGAACATTAAGACTGTAAATGTACAAAACGAAGATTAAGAGCCAAAATTATATTTTCTAATAGTACGTCAAATGTTTATTGGAAAATATACTAAATAACATATTCAACAATATATCCATACATATAGGCAATAATTTTATATAAATAAACTATACTATTTACAATTAAAGACTTTATATGTAACATATATATGTATATGTAATCGCTATACAAACTTGAGGGAATGTAAATTATATACCTCAATTTTTAATTTCTTTTATCGATAATAAAAATATTTAAGTAAAAACATTTTGTGCTTTTACATAGATTTCTTTTGTTCTGGATGCATTTAGCTTGATTTCAACTTGGATCCAACTTTTTTAGTTGTGACTGTAAATTTGTCATATCATTAGTTGGTTCCTCTCCAAAATCTTTTGTGTCCCCTATGGGAGCATCAAACATAATTTAAATATTGTAATTAGAAGAGAACATGCAAATAGAACTACCTTTATATACATTTGTTGGAGTTGTACGAGTAGATGAATCATTTGTATCCCAGCTATGATCTAATTTGGTTAAATCTGAACCCGGTCTTATTCCATCACTAAACATAACAGTTTTTTCTACCCGACTTTTTTGGGAACCTTGAAGTATGTGAGGTATTGTAATTACTTTATATGAATTTTTGAATGCAAATCAATTATAATAACATACCTTCCCTCTTTAATACACCTATTGGTACCATAACTGAAATTGGACTGGGGGTTGAGTTGCTTACTTGCTGATGTGGAGGAATCACAGAACAATATTCCATCGGATTATTTGGGTTTGGCCTATCGGCTCCCCTTATATTGCCACCAATTGCACCAACAGAATTATTCATATCATCAGAACAATTCGCTAAGTGTTCAAAACAAATCAAACAAACCCGAGACTCAATATTTCCTAAATAAATTAATTTGGCTTTCATACAACAGCATTTCGAGCAAAGAACCTAGAACACAGACAAATTAGAGACAAGTACAATTTCAACAACAACTGAAAACAAAAGCATATTAGATTGACAAGAAAGTAAGTTCTGCGTTATAGTGTGTTATATATTTTCAATTTTTCCCATAGACTTTTTTCTATATTGCTGGCATTTTTATGATTTCTAAACCATAAAAATTCTAACAATTATCAGCAAAAAGTGAACCGAGTGTGATTTCAGATCATTAAGTGAAAATGATGCTGCATTCTATTAATTTATATTGAAAATCTTCCTCCTTCGATATTGTGTGTCATAAAAATTAGGCATATGATTAATTTGAAATAACACAATAGATTCTTTCATAGCATGACCTTTTTCTATACAATTCCATGTAGTTTGTGTTTATATCACTGTCCAATACCCAATTTTTTCCACTAGTTTCTTCAAAAATGGTTTGAGGTAATTAAACTTGAGATAAATAATACCAATATTTTCTTATTTGAACAATAATAGAATAAGACTAATCACGCAAGAATTAAAAATACTTTCTTATCAACCCAATAATGAGATTCAAATTATTCATTCATATTTACCTGCCCGCAGGCTCTACAATGGTGCCTCCTTTTAATAACTGTGAATTTAACATTGCACTGCATACAGGTACTAGTAACATGATCAGGTATCCAGTAAGGTGCAATTTTTCCTAAAAGATGAATTGGTACAGGCTCAGGCAATTGGTCTTGCAAACTATTAGTCATATTTCCTTTATCATTTTGTTCTCCAGCAGTTACATCAGCCGGTGAAGGCATGACAACAGAATTATCTAATTGATTAATCATTGCCAATTCACCAGGTTTGCTTAAATCACTTTCAGAGGAAGATGATGTTTCTATATAACCTTTAAAGTTTATATCTGTGTTCATTGGAGTCTGACCTGCAGACGAAATTTGAAAATCTACAACCGTGGGCGGAATACTAAGTGATATGGGATGAGAAGTGATTGAATCTGCACAAGAATTTACAGTCTGTGGATCAGAATCACTAGTTTTGCTTACTTCTTGTGTACCTACTGGAATCTGTGTATCATTAATTTCTACAGTAGACGCCTGTGAAATGCTGTCATAATTAATTGCACTATCATTACGTGTGTATGAACAGAAATCAGAAACTATATTATCTGAAAAACCTGGAGTTTCAAACATGTTAGAACTCTTAACAGAATTTCCTCCAGCTTTGGCATCAGCATTGTCAAATGAGTCTGCATTATTATGCTCATTTTCAATTTGTTGTAAATAGTTCTCTAGCTCAGTATCGGATATATCATCTAATGAAATTTGAAAATCAACAACCTTAGACGGAATACTTTGGGATGTGTTATGAATTACATCGGATTCCACAGAAGTAAATTGAGTTTGTAGATTAGAATCAAATTCATTTGTTTTAGAATCAAGTTTGATCTTTATAGGAACTTGAGCATCTACAATTTCTGCTGTGGACGCCTGTGAAATGCTATCATAATTAACTGCATTATCACTATCCATACATGAATATAAATCAGAAGCACTAGTATTTAAAATGATTGGTGATTCATTTTTATCGCAACTCTTAATAGAAATCAACTCTGGTTTGGTATTATCAGGCGAATCGGTATTACTATCATCACTTCTATTATTTTTCAGATCACTTTCCTTCTCTACATCAGATTTATCTACCATTGAATTAAATTCACCTTTTTCTATGTCTTGACAATCTTCAGTACATAATAAAGGTGTTTGAATAGATGGCGATATGTCTTCGCCATGACTTACATTTGTCTTTTGTTGTATTGATCCAGTTAAATTCTCGCACAGATTAATATTAGATTCCAATTTATTAACATCGACCTGAATTACCATTTCATTCTGAGTTTTCATGCCAGTAGTTTGTTCGCACTCATAAACATCAAGGTCCTCATCCTTTACTAATTGCTGTTAAAAACAAATAATTGACATTAATAAAAAGCTGATTTTTTTACATCAAAATAATAATCCACTTCAAACAATAAGCTACAGAATAAAATAAATACTGCACATATAGTGCAAAATAAAACAAATAATTGTAGCAAATAGATGAAATATTGGTAAATATAGAGTAAAATATAAATTACATTTTCACTATCAACATCAGACATTTTCTCAGGAATTTCAGTTGTCTGCATTGCAGGTAAATGATTTGAGCTGGTGTTAATATATTCAATCATATTTGTAAACGTTATTGGAGTATCTAAATTTCCTTTTACAGACGAGAGTACCAAATCTTTTGAGAGCATTTTAATACTATCTGAACCACTAACTGGGGGTAGTTCAAATTCATTATTATTTGAGACTTTTGTTTGGCTTTGTTCTATAGGAACCTCAGCATTTTGTTCATTGAACTCAAAATCATCGAGAACTTTGTCAAGATCAACAACATCCATCTGAAATAAATATAGGTACGACCTTGGTAAAAGATATTTAGAGTTTACAGAGTTTATATGACATCATACGTTCTGTCATGAGAAAATTAATAACTTTACGTATTTCAATTACGTATTACCTTCAAACGTTTATTCAACTAAATCCATATGATCACAAATGTCGGCACTGTCAAATATAAACAGTGAATGAAGCAGACAAATTTAACGTGTCATAAGACGGTTTATCAACTGTAATCATATAAAACTAATTAACTTGTACTACAAAGTCCAATAATAATGTTTGTGTAAGAAAACGCATGGTATCATTAAAATAATATATGTAAGTTCGTTTTCTGTTACCATAGTTATATTCCTACATAATGCAATTACTTGGCTGTATTGTTGACTACTGGGGCTACTTTTCCAGCCCAGCTGTCACATACGATTTCAACCCAGTCAACATAGACACAAAAGCTTCAACTTCGGAATAATTCGCATATAATGGAAAATAAGCTATAATCAATGAAATTTTAAAAGTCGCTTCCGATTTGACCTCTGCGCTTTTCTTTTATTCAAGGTCAAAGGTAAAAATGACATTTTTCCTATTTTTCTATGAAAATTATCGAAAAAAAAAACATGTTAGATACGTCTGTCATAATACGTCCCACATGCATTAATCTTCTCTAATCATAAAAAATCAAAAGATCGGATCGATAAGAACTTTTTGCATTTAATTTTCTAAAGCTTATAAAACGCCTATACCAATTTTCATCGTCGTGCGAATTTTCGATTTAGCATGTCTATTTTGACTGGGCTAATTTGTGGCAAACTGCGTCGATGTACACGCATCTGACGTAAATGGTACGGCGTTTCGCCGTCGGCGCTACGATCGCCGACTTAGGATCGGATCGGACAGTAAGGTATGCGGTTGCGGTATGCGCACTAACGTGACAGAACAGAAGCGTAAAGTTCGTACTTCAGTCCGCTTCAAAATTAGATTACTCCGTGAAATGGCTGACTTTCTAAAAATGTAAATAAAAACTTCAAGTGCGAAAAAATTTAAATAATTTACGTGAAAATTAGATAAAAATTGTTAATTCGAATTAAAAAGGATAAATATTAACATACGATTCTTTTGTCGATAAGAACAGTGAAATTGAATCAAATTAACAGTGCAAACAGTGTTGTGATTATTTAGCTTTACGTAGAGGCTGTGAAAATAAGAACCTTTTATTTGCTGGTGCTATTTTTGCACTAGAATGAGGGTTAGAAAATAGTTTATGTGGACATAAATTGCTCGTTACAAATTATCGTAAAGTCGTAATTGAAAGTGGAATTGCATTTGATGATCGATGCATTATAAACTATTATTTATTTCCCAGTTATCTTTAATTTTCATTAATTATACTATTAAATGCTAAATTGGACGAATAGCTTTCATAGTAATTCAAACACAGTTGGTTTGTTATTTAAGATAATACTTGTAGAGTCACAAGCTTAATAATAAATTGTTTTCATTGTAAAAATACTAACCTAGAAAATTCAACAAAGGCGGTGGCTTCAGCTTGTAAACAATAATTAGTCGTTTATATATTTACAATATAAAATATCGTAGATATTGTAAAATATTACACATATATTATTCGTGGTCTAATAATATTCTTTGCCAGATCAGAAAGTGCAATCGTATGGCTAATGACCTACAATTTCCATATTTCGCTTTTATGCCATTATAATCAACAACTTTTCGATGTATTGACGATAACACATATCTAATCATATTACCTGAACTGTTATCAAAATTTTTTGTTCGCGAATTATGTTCCGATAAATATTTTCATATTGTGTGAATTAGTATGAACCTTGTCCTAAAACATGAATTTGTGCTCCCTAGATCATAGATCATAATCAAAAATAAAATGAATGTTAATTGTGATGGGGAAATGAGTTCACCTCCGTGCAATCGTAATGAAGAAAGTTTGAATCAATCTCAAAGTTTAAGTGAAAATGGACCAGAAGACAGAGGTCCAGGACCTCCTACTCCATCTGATAAACTTGTCACAGGGGCTTCGTGCAAAGCCCTACGCACTGCGGTTTCAACTCTTTACCCTATAGACGATTTTATCAAAGAAAAAATTGCCTTTGGCTTTTTCTCCGATGTCTTTAAGGTAAGCGGAAAACATTTCTTTCATTCTTTCGCTACAACTGATAAAGTCGCCAATCATTATATAAAAATTAATTTAAAATTGAAAAGAATTAAAAACCACAATAATGAATTAGTACTTTGAATTCCTTCTCAATAGTTTAAGTCTGTTTGATAAATCGTTCTAAAAATCTATATTATCATTATTATAATAATGCGATTTTATTTTCAAATACATGTATATCCAAAATCATTCATTTCTATTATTAATAGATCCAAGTTGTTTGTAGAAACAAATAACATAATAGTAGTATTACCATAATGATTCAATGATTACTTATCACAAAAATCACTTTATAAAAATGTGAACGATTTGAAACATATGACTAGAATATTAGAATATTGGAAAATTGATTTTAACTATTTATTAAAATCAAATTAAGATATGAATTATTATTAATATGCTTTGAACTCATCTCCGAGCTTAAATCTTCCCATGTTACTCCTAATTATTCCTTTCTAAGTTCAAATATCGTTTATTTTTTAACAATATTTCTTCTGACTTCATCTGGCTGATATCAGCAATTATACAAATTTGAAACTTTCTGGTTTATGAAAGTCATTAAATTTATGACGTCTAACACGTTGTTTTCACTTAACGACATGTTTAAACAAAAATATGGCATTTCTATGGGCTAAACTTAGCTAATATTTATTCTCTACTTTTAAGACCCTTCCTTATGAACTGCTTTTTTTCAAACTTGATGTAATTGATACTCTTACTTGTATTCCCTTTAACTAATTTGTTCTTAAAGCTTTGCATAATTTTCATAAACACCTATCAAAGGAGCATAAATAAACTTTAAACTGAGAAAAATCACTGAAAAAAGAAACATATCAATAATATTAATATGGTAGTCTACCGAAGGCAGGCCCATGGTGTAAGTGCACCACCAAACCAATTATTCCCTCCCCCCCTTGTTTATTATTCCCATTACCATTAATCATTTTTTTATTGACTTTGTGCATTTTCCTTTCGAAACTTTCAGTTTCCTGTATTTTCTCTCTCGCGCTCGCGTAAGTTATTATCAATCATCTGCATTATCTTCTTGGCAATCCTTTTCGCAATGTCCTTCCACTTTATCTTCTCCATTCGCCTCCTGCACTACGTTTCTCATCAATATAATTATATTTTGCTCATTTTTTATTTATAAATAATCAAAACGTAAATATAAGCGAAAGCAATAAGCGATAGCATCAAAAAACATAATTCAAACAAACAATTGCAATATTTACTGTAATCCCACATTATTAACTTCCCGTAGGGCAAGTTATAGTAATCGCGGAAAAATCGAAAATGAACATTTTTATAGATCTTTACGTTTCAAAACCTTCTGAACATTTTGGCATACCTTAGGAAAAATGGATGTATGTGTGTGTGTGTGTGTATGTATGTATGTTCGGATTTGAATAATTCAAAAAAACATTCGATTCGTATTGATAAGGAGACGTGCTGATTAGTTTTTGGCGAAGGCAGGTCTAGCCGTTCCGAAGATATGGGGCAAAAAGTGCCAAAAACGGTAACTCAGTTTTTAAGAGAACAGAGTGTTCGATTTGAATAATTCAAAAAACATTTTACTTTTATTAACAAGATGAAGAACTGATCTGAACTGATTTTCATGAAGGTAGGTCTAGCGGTTTCGGAGATCTAGTAAAAAAAGTAAAAAAAAGCCATTTGGCGCTCAAAAATGATCAGTAGACATATGCACATCAAATTATCATATATTTTATAGAGATTTTAACAATAAGTATAAATTTTGTTTACATTCCTATGGGTTCATCGTAGCTTACGCGCTTCGATATTTCGCCTCTATGGAGTTAAAGCAGTACGATTGCTTTGAAAAAAAGTTCAGAATTTCCAAAATATTTCAAAATAAATTTTTCTTCAAAGTCTTTTTTTCAAAAAAAAGTTAGTCTTTGTCAAAAATTTATAGTTTTTCAAAAATCTAATTTTTTCAGAGTAGATTTTTTTCAAAAATGTTAATCTTTTTAAAAAAAATAATTTTTAGTACGGGCAGTTCCAGCAATTTGCCTTAAGGCACGATGCCATGCGCCCCACTAGTTTTTTGTATTTTCTTGTGTTTATGTAAATATGTTTATTGATTCTCAAATCAACATTATGTACCATTTATTTACATTTGTATTTCCATACTTTGCCATTCCTTGCGATTGACGTTGTTTTGTTTTGCTACGTTTCACGCTTGGTATGTTGTTTCAGGCTCTGATAAAATAATATGAATGCGTTATGTTCTTGTAAATATTTTGTTGATTCAGCACCCTAATCTATTATATTACATTAAGTAATATATTTTCGTAAAAATAACCGTTATATAATTTCAATACCTTTTTGCAATCGAGCGGTTTCATTAATTCCAATTCTCATCGTTGCTTTCTCATTCTCCTCGTTCAAAGCGAACGTTTGCTGTGAGAGCTTGAAAGAAAGATTCGCACAAAGCGACGCAAGTTTATTTTTAAAATATTGTATGAATTAATCAGGTAATAACGTTCATAATGAGTTGAGATAAAATTAATTAAATGGCTAGAAAAGATCGACACGACAAACAGGAAACAGGAAAACTTAACTGATAATATTATTGCAAGCTACATAACGAGATATATGTATTGTTTATCCTTCGATATAGAAGGATGTTTTTCTCCAAAGTGTTTTTATGGGTTATAGATAGGCGGGATTTTATCAGTATTTTCATTTAACCTGGCGTTGTTATAATTTCGGGCGCGAGTTTGCGAGTCCGCGAGTCCGCCGAACGTCACCGCCGCGTTTCCGCTCCGAATTAGAGCGGTGATTCACGCGATACATTTCAACGAATATTTTAAAGGCTATTACAGAATAGGTTTAGCAATAAGAGATATGATAACTAATTTGTCTTCATGCCAATGCATGCATATATTTCTTATTTTTAGGTAAGCATTTTCAAAACATGGCCAATACTTACTCTTGATGTTTTGTTGCAAAAACTTATTAACAATACTTGTTAACCCTTTCGGTTCGAGCGGTACACATGCAATTTATACCAGGACGTAATGTAAGTGTTTATCTGTGAGATAAAATACATATGACCCGTAAAACAGCATTTAGTTTAGAACCATTCGCGTTTTATTTTCTATCCGCCCAAACCACGTTGCAAAAATCATACTATTTTCAATAAAATTGCGATTTTCGACGATTGTAAGTGATTACAATGGACAAGAAAGCGATAAAGTAGGCAAATATAACTATGTTTCAAACATTTTGTATTTATTATTACTAAATTATATTAGTAGTACACATACGTACCAGCCGTCTATTACGTCTTATATGTTCTCAAATAAGAGGTAGTTAAAAAATCGTAAATATGTATTTTTTTGTTCTTTGACTGTCTATTAATATTACAAATAGCTAGATACAAAAAAAAATATTCATAATCTGCAACCATCGCAAAACAAATGTGTATCAACAAAAAGTTGGTATAGTACAACAGTTCACCAGCTTCCCCAGCTGCACACATTAAAATTATTACACAAACTGGGTTTTTAAACAATTTTTCGACTACCGTCCCGAAAGGGTTAAATGCTTACTACTAAGAACGTCCTTATTAATAGAAATTAGTACTTCGTATTGAATGACAGTTGATTAATTCCTATAGCTACTTCGTTAGTTTTATTTATAAATTTCCGTATATTTCTCTTTATTATTGTTTAAATAGAGGAATTCAATAATTGGGAGGTAATTAACAAATTTAAAAAGTTATCGGAGTGTTCGGAGCTATGATAAATTAACTAATATTATTAACTATTGTTTTATTTATATTTTTATATATTTTGAACAGCGTTCAGAAAGCGAGTCCAATAATTTGTCGTGATATTTTTTCAAACCACGTGGTTTAACCAGAAGGCAACCAACGGTTGGCCAATCTCTGTTTGATATATTTTATTATTAGATTATATTTTCTAATAGTGATAATTTTTTAATTTGATGCAGCTTTAGCGTGGGAGGGTTTTTTCACTTGGAAACATTTGATTATCTAATACAAAAAATACATACTCATCAACTCACATACAAAAACATACATACTAAGAATTTACTCTATATTAAAAGATCTATCAATTCGAATTATTTCTCTTTGGGATAAAAAATCCTTACTGTATAAATATATGCACAGAGTCAATCTGTAAATCTTTGAAATAAGATTTTAGTGGCGTGTTAAATATTTAGAGAAATATAATTTTCAATCAACTAAGTTAAAAATTTGGCAGATGTGACATCCATGAGACCATTCAGTGCGTTAAAATGAAATATAGGATTTGTTTAAAAATATTTTCTAGGCTTTCCACATAATGCGTTGGATTTAAAATGATTCTTGACTTCTCTTAACCGGAAAATTACCAGATAGGACAAAACTATTTCTTGTATAATAAAATACATCTCTCAAAATGTAATACATGGACTGTAAATAACTATCCTGTCACCGTAAAAAATGAATTTATCACAATCTACCTCGAGAAATCCTGAGTTGTTTACAAAAATGGCTTATCAAATCCTGACCACTCATTTTAGAGCGTTGCTGATATTATTCGAATAATATTTAATGGGTTTCTGATATGTAGAATCTCCAATCAATATTGTTTTTCATACAACGTATTGAATTTCATTTCACAAGGTTGTCTTCATTCACGAAGTTTCAAATTTCTTCTCTTTCATTCTCTTAATGATTAGTAATTTATTTATCATTTATTAAAACTGTGAGTAATCACGTAGAAATTCGCATACTTCTGCGTAGCAGAAAATAGTAGCTATTGATTATTTGCACTAATGCTGATCTACAATTTCAAACAATGCGTAAAATATTGTAATTGCAACTCGTCAGGTTCAAAATTGTCTGTACAACTGGAATATTAATGGCTTGTCTCACATTGGAAATAAGTAAAACTTTTGAATTATCCATTATAAGTAACTTTAAATTTTGAAATTGATAAAAACAATAATTATAAATCATTTCAGGTGACCCATCGTACGACTGGGGATGTGATGGTCCTCAAGATGAACCAATTAAGATCGAACCGTCCAAACATGCTTCGGGAAGTGCAGCTAATGAATAAATTATCACATCCGAACATTTTGCGGTGAGTTGATTCACCACTTCTCACTAATTCAATTATTATTTTATCTTACTAATACTAAATTAAGCCAAACAATGTATTCAAAAAAGTAACTGCAAAGTTTTATATTTTGATTCGCCTAAAAAGCGCCATAAATCATATATATTATGCACAAGTACTTATACATTTTGGAAAATAAAAATATAAAAAAAATATTTTCATTTTTTAACTATAAATCAAAAATAGTACATCAACGATCACTAACACTTCAATTCTAAGAAAAATCGAAATTTTTCCTTAGATATACATTTACTGTAGAAATGTTCAATTTACCTTATAGAATTTTTGTAACTTCTAATTGCTAAATAAATAAAACAATAAAAAATCTAATTTTATAATTGTCTTCGAAAACTCGAACGTTTTCCTCAAATCGTTGTAGGCGTTGAGCGTTGTACGTGATCCGTCCACAATATTTACCTGATCGGATGCAAATATTTACCACTTATGCAAATACATAAAAAATGTGGGCGTTTATCAACGAAGTCTAGCCAAAATCGAAAAGTATGGAAAATGATTAAATTGCCAACGATGAGATGTAAGCAACGTTGCCAAACAATTGTAAACATTGTCAAAACTTGGCAAGACGTACGAATATCCTCTTAACATTACGGAACTATCTTGGCACATGTTATATAAAATTCATAATGTAATTAAAATATATTAATTGCTCGTAATATATGATACTGGATTTAGAAAATAATGCATGTAGTCTCTGCTTTATTACGGCCATTTCCTATATATCATTGTTTTTTCATTTTGAAATATCCTTATCGAGTTCAACGAATGGCTTTCAAATTTTTAAAATCGATGCAGCCGTTTGAGAATAACATTGAGGGAAGGTAAAAAATTGGCTCAATTACTCGCAAACGTACGAAATCCTCTAACATTACGGAACTATCTTGGCACATGTTATATAAAATTCATAATGTCCACAATATTTACCTGATCGGATGCAAATATTTACCACTTATGCAAATACATAAAAAATGTGGGCGTTTATCAACGAAGTCTAGCCAAAATCGAAAAGTAATGGAAAATGATTAAATTGCCAACGATAGATGTAGCAACGTTGCCAAACAATTGTAAACATTGTCAAAACTTGGCAAGACGTACGAATATCCTCTTAACATTACGGAACTATCTTGGCACATGTTATATAAAATTCATAATGTAATTAAAATATATTAATTGCTCGTAATATATGATACTGGATTTAGAAAATAATGCATGTAGTCTCTGCTTTATTACGGCCATTTCCTATATATCATTGTTTTTTCATTTTGAAATATCCTTATCGAGTTCAACGAATGGCTTTCAAATTTTTAAAATCGATGCAGCCGTTTGAGAATAACATTGAGGGAAGGTAAAAAATTGGCTCAATTACTCGCATCAATTTTCCAATTTTAGTGTCAAGCGATACATGAAAGCTTTAATCATTAAATAAATTATGTAGAATAAACCAATAAAAATTAAGACGTTCTGAATGCCTAATTATCACTGAGTTAAGTTATCCGTATTATTAATTAAAAAAATTACTGAAATTTGTAGAAATCATTATTGATTTATTTCGATTGATGTAATTTAATAGAAGTCCAATATATCAAAAATATCTCTTATCGAAAATTTTTAATAAGATATTAAACATAGATATTATATTACGCTTGTGTGCGATTGTTTTTAATAAATCATTCACAACGTGATATCAGGATGATGGAAGATTAAGATTAACTTTGATAACATTTTTTTATTAACAACTGAAGTGGAAAAATAGCTAGAGTCTCGATTGTTATTAAAGTCTCAAAAGTTGTAAAAACTCAAGTTTTTCGAAAAACATTTTTAAAATATTAGAGAAGTTAGTTGACTTTGGAAGCCGACGTTTTCACAAAAATTCCTGAGCCGATTTTGAAAATTTAAAAGCCATTCCAAAGACGAAATTATTTTTGGCGATTTTATGAAACTTTGTTGATGATAGAGTTCATAAATCTGATCTATTTGAAAGCTATCAATTGGAAATCGCATTGATTAGTTTAAGTCAAAATTTTGAAATAGACGGTTGAAAATTCTATTGTCAGAATTTTAAAAGTTGTCGAATCTCAAATCATAGTTCTCAAGTCTAATATTCACACATGTAAAAGTAAGTTAATACAACTTGCCTTAAGGTAAAATGACATCCGCTTAAACTTTATTTGCGTGATTACAAACTATTCGTTTTACAGCTTATTATTAGAACAAAATGTATTATTCAAATATTATTAACTTCCCGTAGGGTAAGTTATAGTAATCGCAAAAAAATCGAAAATGAAAATTTTTATATATCTTTACGTTTCAGAGGTTTCTGAACATTTTGGCATACCTTAGAAAAAATGGATGTATGTGTGGTGTGTGTGTGTGTGTGTGTATGTATGTATGTATGTATGTGTGTGTAATGTATGTGCGGATACAAATTTTTCGTCGACGATTTCGGGAACACGGATCACCGATTTGAATAATTCAAAAAACATTCGATCCGTATTGATAAGGAGACGTGCTGATTAGTTTTTGGCAAAGGCAGTCAAGCCGTTCCGAAGATACGGGCAAAAAGTTCCGAAAACGGTAACTCAGTTTTTAAGAGAACGGAGCGTCCGATTTTAATAATTCAAAAAACATTTTATTTGTATTGACAATGGAAGGATCGATACAACTTTCATGAAGGTAGGGTCCAGCGGTTTCGGAGATATAGAGGAAAAAGTAAAAAATGAGCATTTGGCGATCAAAAATGATCATTAGACATATGCACATCAAATTATCAGACATTTTATAGAGATTTTAACAATAAGTATACATTTTGTTAACATTCCTATGGGTTCCGTACCAATGCTCATGCGTTAGACAGCGACGCGGCGCTTACGCGCTTTATATTTTGTCCCTATGTAGTTAAAGCAGTACGATTGCTTTGAAAAAAAAGTTCGATCTTCCACATATGGTCAAAATAAAGAAAAAAAAATTTTTTTTCAAAAAAAATTTTTTTAAAAAAAAAATTTTTTTTTAAAAAATTTTTTTTCAAAAAAAACTAATTTTTTGTCCAATTATAGTTTCTCAAAATCTTATTTTTCAAAGTAATTTTTTTTCAAAAATGTTAATCGTTTTAAAAAAAAATAATAATTTTTGGTACGGGAAGTTCCAGCAATTTGCCTTAATGCACGATGCCCTAATTGCCTTAAGACAGAATTCCACTTACAGCTAGTTAATAAAATATATTAGTCGGATACTAACTACTTGTAGGCTTAGGGCAAGTCGCATGGACTTTCCGATTTGTAAATAATCGGACTTGAGCAATGAGCTCACAGCATGGATATTAGTCGCTAAAAATTTATAATTTAGTGTTGTAGTAAATTCTCAAATGTTTCTATCGTATGTGTGACTTAATAATTTGTGTAACCGATAGCCTTCCCTAAATCCAGTTTGTGTCATGAGCAATTAATTTTAGTGGAAAGCTAATGCAATGCAAATGAATTTAATTAACTTCCCGTAGGGCAAGTTATAGTAATCGCAAAAAAATCAAAAATAAAATTTTTTATATATCTTTACGTTTCAGAGGTTTCTGAACATTTTGGCATACCTTAGAAAAAATGGATGTATGTGTGTTGTGTGTGTGTGTGTGTGTGTGTGTGTGTGTGTGTATGTATGTATGTATGTATGTATGTATGTATGTATGTATGTATGTATGTGTGTGTGTATGTATGTGCGGATACAAATTTTCGTCGACGATTTCGGGAACACGGATCAACCGATTTGAATAATTCAAAAAACATTCGATTCGTATTGATAAGGATACGTGCTGATTAGTTTTTGGCGAAGGCAGGTCTAGCCGTTCCGAAGATACGGGGCAAAAAGTGCCGAAAGCGGTAACTCAGTTTTTAAGAGAACGGAGCGTCCGATTTGAATAATTCAAAAAACATTTCACTTGTATTGACAAGATGAAGAATCGATAAAATTTTCATGAAGGTAGGTCTAGCGGTTTCGGAGATATGGAGGAAAAAGTAAAAAAATGAGCCATTTGGCGGTCAAAAATGATCATTAGACATATGCACATCAAATTATCATATATTTTATAGAGATTTTAACAATAAGTATACATTTTGTTAACATTCCTATGGGTTCCGTACCAATGCTTATGCGTTAGACATTGACGCGGGGCTTACGCGCTTTACATTTTGTCCCTATGCAGTTAAAGCAGTACGATTGCTTTGAAAAGAAAGTTCAGATCTTCCACAATATGTCAAAATAAAGAAAAAAAAAATTTTTTTTCAAAAAAAAAAAATTAAAAAAAAAATAATTTTTTTTAAAAAAAAATTTTTTTCAAAAAAAGTCATTTTTTGTCCAATTTATAGTTTCTAAAATATCATATTTTTTCGAAGTAATTTTTTTCCAAAAATGTTGATCGTTTTTAAAAAAATAATAATTTTTGGTACGGGAAGTTCCAGCAATTTGCCTTAAGGCACGATGCCCTAATTGCCTTAAGACAGAATTCCACTTACAGCTAGTTTTATTTTTATTGTCAGTCGCTGAGGAAAAAACAGCTGAATCACTTATTCACACAATTTCATCTGGGAACGTCCCTCGGTGAAAATATCTCATCGTCAGGTTTATGGCGCCAAGCCATAAGCATACTCCCATACATACTCTACAACTATCTCGATGCCTCCGAGAACATTTTTCGTGCACTATTTAAAAATAGCCAAACTAATCTAATCGTGAGAGATCCGTTGTCTCGCAAACTTTCATTCCGTTGCATACGTTTATTTTCGTTTTATACGAATTTCGTTCATAATTATTCGCTATCATTTATTATAACTGACGATGAGGATTACACAAACTGATATATCATCTACCTCTATACGTACTAGTATGGTATATGTACTATACTATACGTACCGCACTAAAATATTACGTTCACTTCTTTCTACACAAAGCATATATCATCGACACCAACGGACGATGAAAGAACTTTCTTTAAATTCTTTCCAGACTATTGTTATAATACATTGAAATTTGATCACATCGCCACTATTATTTCAAGTAAACTGCTAGTCTAAACATACTAGTTTGAATTAAACACTAACCAGTAATAAATTTGTCTTGATGAAAGACAACTTTCTTTGAACTTTTTTCAGACTTTTCATATTTGATATATTTTAGTACTCAAAAATAGAAGTTATCATAAATATTATTTAAACACTAATCAAATAGTAATTAATTTGTTTTGATAAAAGAATTTTAAATTCTTTTCAGTTTATTTATCGTAGCTTGAAATCTGATCATAATTAATATTATTTCAATTATTTTAGAAGCCAAACAGTAGCTTTTATAATTATTTAATCACTAATCTATCAGAAATAAATTCGATTTCATTAATTTGCATGAGAATCTAAGCAACTTGATCATAATTCAGATAATTATTTGTAGAGATTGTGCTGTATAAATTTTAGGAATATTTTAGATTTTAAGAATAATGCAATATGTAATGAGTAAAAAATATTAGCTAATATATTAGTTGAAAACAAACAAATATTTTTCTGTACATTTATACACTTTTTAATTATTTGAAACTTGAAAGAATTTACTTTTTGTCTTTGAAGTGAATAAAAAATCATGTCACATTAAATTATATCTTCAGTATAACTTTTTTAGTTTGTGTTTTTCTTTCCAAACATTAATTTCATGAGTACAAAGTTCCCGAAGAAGGTCACATGCGATATTTCCGAAACGTAGAAATAATTATAAATGGCAAATTAATTAAATATTTTTATTTAAGAAAAAGTAGGCAGAGTAAGTATTTCAGATAAATGAATAAATTTATGATAAATTGAAGTATATTTTTATGAAATGGTTCAATGGCTTTTAATTGATTGAACATTAGTTCTAAAAATTACAAATATTCATCAGTAGTGCATTTTAAATGTTCTTATATTTGATATATTGTACTGCGATATTATACGATGGAGAGATTCAATACATTGACACTTGACATGACAACGGTATTTTTCAAAATGGTCCTATAATTAATTCGGGTGTAGGCTCTTTAATAATTTATTGTATAATCCCGAATTTTACATCAGTTTCAATGTGTAGAAATCGATACCCACATATTAATAAAAAAAAAAGATTTCGGCTATGTTACGAATGAGCTCTCGCAATAACATCAGGGCATCGTTATGCGCCGAAGTTAATTGTATGCGAGCCAAAAATCGTAGAGCCGCCTAGGCGGAAAAATGAGGTGATTTCGTAGAATTTCATTGCATTAAAAGACGGAACAGGCCATGAAGAAATTATGTTTTAACCCTTTCGCTACGATAGTGTTGTCGCTGTTCAAAAGTATTTGAACCACAACAAATTTCAGGATTTCCCAATCTTTATCAATAAAAATATTTGAACAAATGACAATTACACTTTGTAGGTTTATTTTGAAAATTGGAACTTCATTATTACTACTATTGGAAATGGGGTAAAAAATAAAAAGATTTGTGAAAAATCAACATGATAAATTTCAACAACTAGTTGGTATTGGTATTTTGCCTTAAGGCAAGTTACATAAGCTTCCCGATATGTGGAAATAATCGATTTAATCAATAAAAAATAAATTAATTAAATGAGTGATTAAAAGTATTCCGAGTGGATTTATTACACATAATTGAAAACGAGCGAAGACGTTAACTCGCACTATTTTCTAAAAGCTAATTTTCAAAATCAATAATTTTTATAAGTAATATCGCCGAATTTTAATTTTAACAAACGTCGAAAAATTACTCATTTTCTCAAACCTTGAATTTTTAAAATTAAACTACTTGTCGTAAGGCCGTAATATTTCAGTAAGTTCTATTAGACCATGATATATATCGCCAAAAAAAGTTTCATAAAAATCGGCTTAATTTTTTTTTTCAGCAGTTAATTACAAGAAAACGGCTCGGTAGATTTTCACCTAAAACTAATCAGTATCATTCCTAACTAATATCTTTCGAACTGTTTTTGATTTTTTAAATCGATTCGGTAGTATGAGCTTAAATGTGGACGAAAAGTCTAACACTTTTTTCTAAATTACAAACGATAGTCCTCATTGAGATACTTCAAATGGCTTTTAAATTTCTGAAATCGGTTCATGCGTTTTTGAGCAAATGTCGATGAAAGTTCTAATTTTGACAAATGCCAAAAAAAAACATACTAATTTTTGCAACTTTGAAGAATTTTTAAAATTAAACGACTGGTCGTGGGGCCGTAATATTTTAGTATGATCTATAAGACTATGGTATCTACCATAAAAAAAAATCATCGAAAATGATTTTTTTAACATTTTATTACAAGGAAACGGCCTGGCCGATCTTGGACAAGAACTAATCAGCCGTTTTTGAGAAAACGTCGATTTACGGCAAAAAATCTGTTCACACACACACACAAATACTTTTTATAAATTTGATCTCATTTGATTCAGAATGGCTTGAAACGTTGAGAAAACATAAATTAGCAAATCGGATTTTTTTATGAAAACATAAACTTCTCCTTTGGGATGTTAAAAGACAACAATTCGACGTATAATGGAATATAAATGTGTAATTTTGTGATATTTCGTGTGCTGTAAAATGTAAGTGGCTAAATGCTCTGGCGGAGCCAATAAAAAGTAAATAAATTTTATTTCTAACTTTTTAAGAATTTTCGACAGGCGGGATAAACGAGTGAAATAATGAAATTTTTGAGAAAAAAACGATTGCAACGGCTAGATAAGACTTATCGGTATTTTGGCAGTTCATTTATTGGCTTCGCGGCTTTGCATGTGGATTAATGACACTCGACTTGTAATATTTTCGATCGTCGGCGGTGTATGGTGTATGTAACATTATGGCACGTGTAGGCGAAGGCATTTCAGTTATGAAATATGGATTTGTACTGATAGGTGAGGTGAGCAAACGCTATAAGCATTTCGAAAAAAGAATACAACGAAAGAAAATGCGAACATTGAATGATTTTAAAAAAACATTTTTCAACTACATCGAGAGATAATATTTAGATATTTAAAAAAGGCAACCACTTGGTCTGCAAGCTTTCATAAAAGAAAAAACAGTCATGTAGGAATAGTTTTGAAGTGGAAAAAAAAATGCAATTTTATAAATAACACTAAAATTATCCAAAAGTCTAAAACTTTCAAAACAAAGCTGTTCCAAAGTAACTAATTATATTTTTAAGAATACGCAGATATAGTGATCTGCATAAGCAATTTTATCCACAAACCACTTTTATTTACGGCCTTTGAAAATATTATGTATTTTGGAATATAAATTTTATTGCTAATGGAGGAATATATTAAAAGTATAAACATAATATTGTTATTCAAAATATAAAAACGAAACACAAATTCATTATCACAAAATAGTGCTTATTTTGAATTCAATGTTTTTGAATTATTTTGTTGTTTCTGCTCGATTGAGTTCATATTAAATGTTGTATATAATTTCTAGCCGAATGTCGCATATCTACTGTCGAAACGTATAAATAAATTATTAGTTGTGACAATAATTTTGTGCTTATTTAATTTTTATATTTTGTAGTTTATCAAATTATTTTATTCAATGTTTTAGGGATATGAAATGTCTCTTTCTTCAGAAAACTATTGATAACAAATTGAAAAAATATACAATTTAGACATTTACTTGATTATTTTAAAATTGTAGGAATTCACTTTCACTTTATAACTGAACGTTTTTCAAAATAGGTAAAAAAGGTAGTAACAGAAATAAAAAGTGAATTCTTTCAAGTGTATAAATATGTAATAAAAAATTATTATCATTAGTTCCTGTAGAAGGGGATATCCCATATGCTTGAAATATTGAATAAAATAATTGGAAAATGAAATAAATTTTTGAAAAAAAAAGTACTTCAGTTCAAAAATATAACTATCATAAACAACAATGGCTATTCCGAAAAACTAATAAACTTTTCCACGAATTTATTTCTTAACAAATTCTGTGTTTTATCTTTCTGCAGGTTTATCATCTGTAATCATCTGTCAGCTTGTAAAAGTCAATCTTGTTTGATAAATTTATGAAATAAAAAAAATGTAAGAATCATGCAATGTTTTTGGAATCTTTTTTATAAAAATTGATTCTGTAAACAATCTCCTTGTCATTAGATGATTATCTGATTATGAGTGTCTTGTGTGTAACGTAGAATGAAAAAATAATTAGGGCAAGAGAAGGCTCTTATTGTTAGTTAAGAATTTGTTTCGAAATTTTGAATCCTCGTTTCAGATTCATGGGCGTCTGTGTCCACGAGGGCCAATTGCACGCACTGACTGAATACATAAACGGCGGCTCCCTTGAGCAGCTCATACTTTGCAAATCGGAAAATTTATCCCTTATTAATAAAGTTTCACTAGCCAAAGATATATCGATGGGCATGCAATATTTACATACCAAAGGCGTCTTTCATCGAGACCTGACTAGCAAGGTAAATGACTAAGAAATAAATGAATTTCTTTTGAAAATCAATACTTATTTTTTATTAATGTATTTACAGAACGTTTTAATTCGTCGTGAAGCCAGTAAGATGACTGCGGTAGTCGGAGATTTCGGCCTAGCGGCGAAAATACCTCACAATAGGTAATGGTAGAAGAAAGATATAAGGTCGTACATTTATAATTTAATATTGAAATCAAGAAGAATTTGACGGCTTTCGAATGAAACATTTATTTTTTTTTAAATTCAACAATTGAAAAAAAACTACTTATAGCAAATTTTAAAAATTATATGCTTTACCATATTTTTCTATTTATAGGACTGAATTTCGTTTACCAACGGTGGGCTCCCCATATTGGATGAGCCCCGAATGCTTGAAAGGAGAATGGTATGACGAAAGCAGCGACGTCTTCTCCTACGGCATCGTACTTTGCGAATTAATAGCCAGGGTAATTTTATATTTATCAAAAAATACTATTAATGACAATTTTATTACACATTTTATCCAACAGATACAAGCAGACCCAGATATTTTGCCTAGGACTAACAGTTTTGGATTAGATTATTTTTCATTTATTGAATTATGCCCTCCGAAAGAAACTTTGCCAGCATTTCTTCGTCTTGCCTTCAATTGCTGCGTGGTAACAATATTTATACATTATGAATGAAATACGAATACTGTGGCTTCTATTAATATTGCACAATTCTTTTTTTATAGTTCGCCCCATGTAATCGGCCTACGTTTTTTGAAATTGTTTCTAAACTAACTGCAATTTTAGAAGATTTGAGAAATGGGGAAGATTCAAGTAAAAACTCATATAACAACGATATTAACACATCAAAGAAGATGAGTAATAATGAATTATCAGTCTATCCCAAAAATGATCTTTTCAATTACAAGGATATAAAGCTGAGTATCGATGCCAAATTAGATGTTTATCACAAAAGGAATTCTGTGGATGTGCCAACCCTGATTACAAACGCTGCCAATGAAATTTCACAAATTAATTTAGACAAATCAACAAAAGATTGCACGGATAAAAAATGTATGTCTTTTGCATTACTCCTATTTTGCATTTTACATTCAACACATTATAAATTTAGATTTTATTTATCCGTTAAACGATTGATCACTAAATAACTGTTTGTTTTATATTCTCATTAATTTTTGTTCAATGTTAACTAAACTCGTCTACGTTATATATTGAACCTCTTCTAATTTGTTATTTCTACTGGGCATAGATCATCATAGACGTTCGATGTCTGCAGACGTGGGCGGAGTGCTTTTCCCCGCCCATACGGCGCCCAGTGAGAAAGCCAGATGTCATCTCCTGCAGAGATCTCCGCCGCAATCGGAAACCTCGCTGGTCGACTACGAGATCAATTCGAACTACATGGCACTCCGAAAAGTAGCCGAAATAATGTGTCTGAAGGACCCGGAATACAAACCGCGCTCAATCAAAAGTAAACTGAATCCATTCTCGGCACTGCGGTTCTGCGGCGTTAAAAAAATTATAGGCGGCTTCAATAATTCTTATACCTCCGGTGCGGGTGATCTGTTTAGTTCGTGCTTCGAATTGCCTTCTCCGCTGTTTCATGATCCAAGTAGTTTGAATGATGTTATGGAAGAAAATTTATCGAGGGCTTCCTCAGTTAATGCTAAAACAATTCATTACTTGACACACCTGCTTCCACTGAAAAAGTGTCAAACGATGATCACACTGTTGAAAATGCACTAAACCAGTACAAAATTAATGAAATGAGAAAGCCAGATGTCATCTCCTGCAGAGATCTCCGCCGCAATCGGAAACCTCGCTGGTCGACTACGAGATCAATTCGAACTACATGGCACTCCGAAAAGTAGCCGAAATAATGTGCCTGAAGGACCCGGAATACAAACCGCGCTCAATCAAAAGTAAACTGAATCCATTCTCGGCACTGCGGTTCTGCGGCGTTAAAAAAATTATAGGCGGCTTCAATAATTCTTATACCTCCGGTGCGGGTGATCTGTTTAGTTCGTGCTTCGAATTGCCTTCTCCGCTGTTTCATGATCCAAGTACTTTGAATGATGTTATGGAAGAAAATTTATCGAGGGCTTCGTCAGTTAATGCTAAAACAAATTCATTACTTGACACACCTGCTTCCACTGAAAAAGTGTCAAACGATGACCACACTGTTGAAAATGCACTAAACCAGTACAAAATTAATGAAATGCCAAACAATGATGTAGAAGAGGAAAGGAATAATGAAGCTGCTGAAGAGAACAATGCCAATCCCGAGTCAACTGGCGCTGTAAGTAAGGCCAATTCATTATATTCCCACCCTTTGTTTAAAATGTGGAAGTCAAATATTGCATCATCTCAAGATGAATTGAACGAATCCGAATTGCTTTTAAACATGAATGAAAATAAACACAATTTGACCAGGCGAGGCTCAACAGAGAGTGGATTTTTCTCCTGCTTCTATGACGATTTGTGCCTCCATTCTAAACATTGCATATGTTGTTCTGACATACTCAGAGATCCTGAGAAAATTAAGACTGACCTTGGAATAGATAGTTGTTATTTATCAGATTCAAAACTACCATGTCAATTGTGCAGCTACTGTACTTTTCCCAAGTCTAGCACTACCACAGATTTCAATAGCCTATCCAGCCCTATCACTCATGTGGATTCTCAATGCATAGATATTCTGAACAGGTTGTCGTTAGACTCTGAAATAAGTGGACTGATGCAGCAACGAAGCATGTTAGCCAATCAATTGCTTTATTGCAATAAGAGAAGTTCTTCCATTTATACAGATAGCTCTGAGGACATATCAAGTTTAGCTGGATCCGATTCTTTGCTCTGTGATGAACGTGTCAGTTATACAGGATTCAACGGGAGATCACGATCAGCACAGATTTCAAAGATTGTTGAATACTTTGAAAGGAAAGGAGCAAATTTCAGACACTCATCTGTAGACAGTTCAAAATTTAAGGTTCCATCCGATGACCTATTGTACTCAAAAGCCTTTGGCAGAAGTCCATCGGACTCGAAAAAGGATTTTGAAAAAAGGTTTAATATTGATTGGAATAAAAATAGTGATTATGATGAATTTTGCTTCGGCTTGGATAGTAGTACCTCAAATCCTGGTTCTTCTCAACAAAGACTGGTTATATGTAAGGGTGCAGTGAAGTCAAAACTATCATTGTTCGACAAGGGGCTATAAAGGGCATTTATGTTACTTTATCTTAATATCATTTTCATTTACTTCATGTGTCAAATGTTTCCCAACCCAATTCAATTATCCAATCACATGTACCTGTATGTTATCATAATATCTAATAGCTTCAATGATATTTAGTTAATAAAACAGTTCTTCCATGTTGAGAAAACCTAATTTTTGCTCATTCATATAAATTTCATTCTATCCAATGTAAAATGTGATAAGAAAATTTATAGATGAAGTTAATTTTTTTTATATGGTGTAATTGATGTATTTAATTTTTTCATAAATCAAATCACAAGCAGAATTACTATTATTGTGATCTATGTATGTTTATACATGAGAAAAATGTTTTGAAAATGAAAACTAAATGTCATTTTATATGTGGTTTCGAGAATAATTTGATTCCCTGAATCATTCTTTTGATAATGCATCTATTATATATATAAGATTATTGGATATGTAAGAAATTTATAAACATATATTCAAATGCATATCTTGATTAGTTCAATTAATATTTACTTTGATTGAAGATGGTATGAATTGAATTCAAAAGTATTTGCATAAAAATTTAATTGCTATAACCCAAAAGAACAATTTGAACTGCAATATCCAAATCAAAGTTAAAATTTTGTTCAAATATATATATATTATATATATATATATATATATATATATATATATATATATATAATATTCCAATCTTTTCAAAAATATGTCCTACAACACAGACCTATATATGTGGGCATAAAATTTTATAGGACATGTATGAGCCAAATATATTAACGAAAGATTAAGGTACTATTAAAAATTACTTGTAAGTAAGAGTTAATAATAACATATTGTGAATAGCATAATGATTCTTTAGTTAAACTATATATTTTAGAGAGCAATTGAATATTGGTGTCGATTATTATAAATAATATTTTCTATCAGAACTTTAAGATAAATTAATACTATATATTTAATATTCTTAACGTTCTTGTTACTTTAGTATAATTATACTACATTGTTATATGATGGGCACTATTATAGGTAAATTTATATGTATATAATTATTTATGTTACTTTTTCTGGTATGAAATTGTATAGTAAATATATATTTTTATATAGTATTCTAGTCACAGTTGTCTAAAATATTACTTAGTGTAAAGAACACTTACTGATTATAATAATTTTGTGTTTGATGTAAATTCACTATATATTTTTTTCAGAATACAGTCTTACTCTTTCAAACATGATTTTTATTAATTAGATATTGAATTGTATCATGTTCATATAGATTAATTATTACTGAGAGGTTTCTAGGGCTCTGATAAGCTAATTAAAAGTTTTCAAGCTTGCTTTCAAAATCCTTGGGAATCATTTTCACAATTTAAAAAATATATAGGTATATATATATATATATATATATATATATATAAGTGTATAAATAAAAATCAAAACATTACTTACATTGCACACGTTCAAATTTTCTTGAAACTGGAGAGCAAAATAAACAGACAAGTCAACCAGCTCGCATCCTGTAAATAAAAATATTGTTTCATTAATTTAACCAAAACTAAAATTGTATTAAACAGTATAATAATGATTAAAGAATAAAAATAAACAATTTAATGCAAACTTCAAAAAAATGAAACTCATCGAACTATTAGTTAATTGAATCAAATTAAAGCAATCTATGATTTCAATGAAAGTATGCACAAAACTGAATTTCATTCAGAATGATATGCATAATTAAAAATTGGCTAAACCATGAGTAGCAAAAATCAAATCAAAAGGTTTAAGTGAAAATTCATACCAATACTTCATGAAAATTATTCTATTTAGCAAGCTAATAATTATTTGAATAATATCAGACAAGGTGCAATAATAATAAAACTAAATAATATTGAGAACTATTAAATACAGAGCAAAGACAAATGTAAAATTAAACTATAATTATTCATTTAAACCGAACGAAATTGAAGTATGTAGTTTTATTAAATTAATTTATATATAAAATTCAATGTATAAGAACTTTTATTGTAATGTTTCATAATTAATTCAGCATAACTAATATTAAAATCAATTAACAAAGGTTAATCTTATTAATGCATTCAATAAAATATGTCTCAAAAAATAAATAATATGTATCTCAGTAATCATTATTCACGAAAACAACTTATTGAGTATTGCAATAGGTGCAGAAGAATCATTCTCATATTCTTTTTGTATAAAAAATATCGAAATACACTATAAACTTGTACTAACGAATTAAATAATATGTATGCAAGCATAAATTAATAATGTGAACAACTTATTTATTATTGCAAACTCATTCTCATAATCTTTATGTATAAAAGATTAAATGAACACTACTCATTTATCATTGTAGAAGGTGCTTTCGAAGAAACATTCTCTATTCTCCTCGTGTAAGAGATTCAGAAGGTAACTTAAATCATTAAATAAGTTGTAAATTGATTAATGCAATAAGTGCTTCCGAATAATCATTTTATATTCTTTTGTTATTAAAGATTTATCAACTCATATCGATAAAGAACTTTGAAAAGCTGTAATAAATATTTAATGTCAATAATGCTCACGGAAGTACTTACCAAAATAAATATCCACATATAAGATACACATAATTTTATAGAAACATGAATATAAAAATCTACTCACTTAAATTGTCTTCTCTAATCACACTTGGACAATTCTTATCGTGCAATTAATTATCATGATGAACAAATTGAATATTAATTATTAAAAGAAATATAACCAAATTGCACTGATGTCACAAATATATAAATTACATAAATACATATTTTCTGTCTATCTGTCAAATTCGTTTGTACATTACAATAAATGGTCCTCAAACGATTTAAATGATAGAAGGGCTGTTTGAAGAAAACCGATGTACCAGTTTTCAACTGTCATCATAACACATTTGATATTGAAAATATGCGAAAGTAGCCCCCTTTCCTAAGAGGTAACATTTTTATTGATCAAATTATTTATTCAACAAATTACTTATTTATTAAAGTATAAGAATCAAACGTTTATTTATAAGAAACTGAATTTGTTGCAGTCGGTGACACTTGCATAACCTCACAAAGTTAAAATTGCACGTTGTTAAATTTAAAGAAAAAACTAGATAGTAAATGTTATTTTGCCTTCTGGCAAGTTGCATTAATATCCTGGTATGTATTTATAATCAATTAGAATTGTTTTAGCAACTTTTAAAATTGTCACTACTAAAATTTGAAATTTTGACAGCATCCACTACTTTGATAAATTTTCTTAGGATGTTCGTTAAGACCAAGAATTTAATCATTATACAAAATTTCATTAATAAAAAATTAAAATCGCCAAATAAATTACGTTTTTAATTAATTACGAAGAAACGGCCCGGGCGATCAATTAATACCTTTCGAGCAGTTTTTGAATTTTCAAAATCGGCTCAAGGCATTTCAAACCCGACAAAAAAGTTGACTAAAAATTTTGCACTTCTCACCTAATTCTAAAGAAATGGCTCTGCCGATTTTAATTTTGGGCGAAAACATAAATTTATCCTGTGGGAAAAGTCATATTCACGAGAGGGTAGGTACTAAAAAACAATCTTTTATAAATTCAACAATCGAAATTGATTAAGTTAAAAGTTTGTTCTGTCACTTCCGACATTTGTAAAAGCATCGGAAGTAAAATAAATAACTTTCGAAAATGAACATTTCGAAGAAAAATCAAAAGTTAAAAGTATATTAATGAAAAATCAATAGTTAGCACCCTTTGTGAATTCATTGGAGAATTTGTTCGAGTGAAATTGACTAAATTATAAGTCCTGAAATCAGTATTTACCTTGAATAACTGTGACATCGCATAACACCTTTTGATATTAAACAAACACTTGGATTCACTTCACTAGAAAAGTAAGACAATTGTGTGGTTGTCTAGGTTATAAATTATTGTTTATAAAGTATTGTCTACAAAATACAGCATGCAACAGATTGCCACATGAGAATATTTTCGTTTCTTGTTCATTGTTGGCAACATGCAATTTTGGCTCATCCTTTTATTCATTATTACTTGTTACAACTTCCGCCATTTTTTAAAGAGCAAAGTTTTACACATAATATTTGACCAATTAATCGACGCGGGCCCAGGGCGGGCTCTCATAGAGTTTCATTGAATTGCTTTTAAATTTTTTAGATTTTTAAAACAGTTTTTGAGAGAACGTCGACAAAATGTCAAATTTTGTCTCAAATACACACATGTACTTTTTTCAATCCTTGGGGAAGTTAATTATTTCTATTTTACTCACTATCAGAAAAGCAAAACAATTTTTCTCTATTTAATTTATTAAATTGTATATACCATAGAATATTTTAGTGCATTACAAATGAAGCATAAGGCTCTTCGACTTTTGTCTCACATGAGCATTCAAAATGATTTAAACTATAAATAAATTATTATACAATATATAATACTATAATGGTAATGATATTACCCTTTGTTTCGATTTGGTTTAATCAGAAACTAATATCTTTTTTGATATTATTTAAATCTGGATTTTCATCTATAAATGGATTCTACTCTGTTATATTTGAAATATATAAAATTCTTGCATATTTCTTTGGTAGTCGTTTAAATTTAGAAATAAATTAAATATAATAACGTAATAGCTATTTTATAATAGTAAACAATTAATAGGGAAGTAAGTTTATCAGGGATTGTGTCATAGATGTGTTTATTAATAAATTTACAGGTGACTAGCGGGCAGATAGTACATTTTGACTGATACAAATAATAATTTCAATACAATTCATTCAATGTACCTCATCTGCTGTGTTACTTGTGATAATGCCTATTTAGTATTTATTCAACCATTTAACCAGTTAACTGTCATTTACAAGTATATTCGTCATGGAGAAGTGGCAGAATTTTCTGTATTGAATTAATTTTATTAATTTAATTGGAACGTATTTTGTTCCAATTCCCGTTTTGAAAATGGATTTTTTAAGGAGTTACTGATTCGAAAGTTTTCGTGAGCCTATAATATTTCATAATGTTTGTATCACTTTACAGCAGGAATTTGAATTTGAATTCTTACTTCAATATGTAGCGCGACTTACTCAGTGATTGACGTATATGTATCCAAACAAATCACAAAAAATTGTGCGCACAAGCGGGCCACAATTAACTGGTTAAACCTATGACAAATGATTTATTGTAAAAATATTCGATATCTAGTCCAGTAAAATTTAATTTACATAAAATTTCAGTACCCAGATCTTCAAAATTGAATAAGATGCGCAAAATAAATATTTGATAGCTCGATGTGATGAAATAACTGAATATATGCATCTTATTTATTTAAACCATGAAAATCAATAAAATTCGACATTGTTTTAAGAACCCTTAAGCAAAATTGACTAAAATGACAAATGAAATATTGTTAACAATAAAATTAGATTAAAATCAAATCAATCTGCAATAGTAAACATTATAATCATATTATAAACATATACATATGCATATACATATTTGTCGAAATTTCATTTTTCAATAGTATATATAATTTCATATCAATCTTAGAATAAAAAAATCTTTAATATTTACAAGTGAGAGGTTTGATTGACAGAAAAAATAACTATGTTTACATTACATTATATTGCATTGATTTGATTTTGTTATCTTTGGTTTTTCATTACAAGAGAAATATCATTTCAGGCAGACTGCAGATAAAAAAGCTAGTCAAAATTACTCTATGAATTATTTACATTATGTAGATTTTTTTCATATAATTAATTATAATTTGACAAATATATCAATAGCCTTCATATTACAATAATAATCATGCTTTCTTTTTCTTCAATTAAATTTTTGAAAACTAACTTAATAGTTACGCAGTATCAGAGACGATTTATAAAATATTTTTTATGTATGATACTTTAAATACTTTGCGACATTAGATTTTTAAATTTACATAAATATTCTAATGCTTATATATATATATATATATATATATATATATATATATATCATATATTTTTTATATGTGTATACACACATACATACTCATTATGAATTACTATAATATATACATATTGGTATAATAAATAAATTAACACTGGATAAATAAGGTAACAAATTTTACAATGGACGGACCATACGACATTTGAAATATGATATCAAAAGAATTGTAATTAAATGCATGTCTCTTTTTCCATTTATTATTTATGCCTATATGTACATATATCGAAATATGTAAATGTGTATACCCCAAAGCTCTGTATGTTTTAAATGCATTCATAACTAAATAATAATAATTACAACTTTGTATAATCCATAAGTGCTGAAAATCTTATCGCTAGCAGTTCCTCATTGCTTCACTAATGAACCTCACTACACGAAATTAACTACTAATTGTCGATTGTCTTGGGAGTTCGGGTTAAATTAATAATATAACGATGATATAGATGAGTTGCCGTACGAAATATTCACAGACAACCACAGGCGACCGACCGACGTTTCGCTGAGAGATGCAGACGGCGCATTCAGGACATTCAGGATATCAGGACACTCAGGACAGGTACAGGTCGTCGGCTCGACTTCCAGTCGGCGATGTGGCGGCGGCCAGGGAGGGCGCGCGGGCACCAGCTTGCGGCGATCTCGCATCCTGCTGCAGCAGGTGAGGGTAACCTGTTGAAAAACATATTTTTTAATCTTAATCATAATAATTTTAATTTCTACAATAATAATTTTAATGCATTTGATAAAAAAAACACGTTAGATAGATAATAATTTTGAAATTTAAAAAAATGATTTCGTTTTTCTAATAAATTGCAATTTGATGGGTCGCTGATTTCACGGTGGATGGGTAACTGATAAGTTTGTCAAGCATATTCGTCAATACACAAAATTCTGCAACTTCTCCATTACGAACATACTCGTCAATAACAATTATTTGGTTAAAAAGCACTATGAATGTAAAAAGTTAAGGAATGAGTAAGATAGGATTCTCTGCTCTCAATAACCAGTCAAATTATTATATAGACATTGGAGAGAATGTGAAAACATCGAATATATAATAATAAACAATTCAATCATAAAGCGATACAATAGTTTCTTTTCTGATTAGAATGAATACTATGAAAGACCAATACCAATATACAAATTCACATATAAAAAAAGAATAGTATTATATTTATAAATTTTGTTTCAATCGATTTTATCAAACCACTATGAAAAATATTTATGTAACAGCATTCTCCGATTTATATAGTCGAATTGTTATACAAACATTGAAGTGATTATGAAAACATTTGTTATATTCGATAAAAACAAATATAGAAGTCGATTGTTTGAGTTTATAATCAATTTATAAGCAATGAGTCAAGTTATGATTGTAAACCTGTATATTTATAAAACAGAGAATGTTTATAGGCGTAATTCGACGACGACGCGACATAAGGTAAACGCGCGTCATACTCACTGCTCACTTACTGAGCAACCCGCTGCCCGACGTGCCGTAGCCGTAGGATCCGTAGGCGGTTCCGTATTGTGGATATGTCGAACTATAGGCGTAGTCTGCTCCAGACACCACCGAACCTCCTCCTGAAAGCATCAAATTGAAATAACACCAAATAAAATATGCACAAAACTGAATTTTGGCGCACGTAGATCGTGCGCAAATAACCCAAAGGATTAGCGATGACGCCCTTGCGACTAGCACTTAACATACAACATTTTTTAACAGTTAAATAGTTTCACTTATTTTAATGAATTAATCAAATAAATTAATTTATTTTCTACGTAGACATCGAGCAATAGAGCAATAGATTTATGCAGCATTGATATGTATATTTTATAGAGTGACTCAAATAATACACGTCGAATCGGTTATTTACAACGTTTGCACTATAATATTACAAATTGGAACATGCAAAATGAAATAAATTCAATATAAACATATGATATATTACATAATATATTAATGCAACATCAGCTAATGCATGAAACCTGCATACATACAAATAAAATAACAAAACATATTAATTATTTCACCTGTTCCGTAGTGCCCGAAGCTCGGTAGCATGGTCGAGTATCCCGTGGGGGCGCTGGGCTGCAGTACTATCAACGATGAAGGATCAGGCGAGTTTCCGCTGTGCTGATTGTTGGCAGGTTCCGCCGCCAAGGTCAGCGGCAGACCAGGCGACGCCCCGCTGCCCGTTCCCGGCGCTCCAGTGTCGCTGACGCCCGCCGGCTCGATCACCAGCCCGTACGTCGATGCAGCGCCGTCGCTTGCTGCTCGGACCAGGACACAACACAACACACAAACACGATCAACGACGTTATAGGTAAATAAATGACATATAGAACGTAATCACTACAATTTTCATGCTTATATTAATTTATACATTTTATATTTAGTTTGACATTTTACTCTTCAACGAATGTTATCAATATTGAGTCAACGAATTGCACTTGAATGGTTATAACTCATGGCATTAATAAACGATACTAAAACTATTCAAAAGAAATCAAAATAGAAGAGTAAAATTTATGACTGACAATGAGATAAAAGTGCTAATAAGAAATAAATGGCCCACTAAAAGTAAGAAGCATGCAATGAGTTATTATATGAATTAGTTGAAAACAATGTATGAATAAAATCGGTTCATAAACATTGAAAATTATTTGTTAAGAACGGGGTGAATAAATAAATGGGTTTCGACATTCTTACATAGAATAAAAAGGCTCACAATCAGATTAGCTTCAATTATAATTGAAAGTGAATGTAGAATTTGATTTTTATATTAGTTTTATTAAATTGGTTATTTGGTTTCAATAATTTAAAGTTGCTGAAGAAAGAGACGTTCCATATTCCCGAAACGTACAAAATATTTACAAATAAAAAATTAAATAAAATATTTTTGCGAAAAATGGAGACTAATGAATCAGAAACATAAATCATAAATGATAATTTAATGTTATATAAATAATATATATGACAATACAAAATTTTGTTTTAATTATCATTTTATTTCAGGGATTTAAATGTAATAAGACCGACAATAACAATTTATACAAGTAATATATGCGTAAGTACGTAAGTAAGTATAATAAGAGTAAACTACTTCATGCAGGATAATCTACAAGAAAAAAATACTAATAGTCATGCAAACGTCCAAAGTAAAACAGCTTCATATTTACATAAGATGCGTTTGACATCTCCCATATGAAGGCACCAAATGATTTGTATTAAATGATGTTTATGAGGTGATGCACAAAGCTATTGCTATTACTTCCAGTCGTCATTTCTGATAATTGATTGATATTGATTATTTTCAATATAAGTAACAACACCGACTCCCGAAGCGCGCGTGTTATGTGCTAAACCGACAAAGTGAATCAGCATAGGGATAGCCTATATAGAAACAGTTCAATAGTATGATTTAGGTTTAGGTAGAGGTATATGTGAATATGTGCGATAATAAAATAACACTAGCGGAGAATGATAAATCTCACACAGATGACTCTGGCTTAGAAAATATATTCCGTTTGGTGTAAGACTAGTTCTAGGAACAGGCTTACCGAAAAACGATTTTGCACTCGTTGTTATTACTCATGGCAGGCAGTTATTACTCATGTCCTGTCAAGACATTAAAATTATTTGCTTTTATATTTGTTAATTTCATATAATTTGTTTTCTAATATTGCTATAAATTGTACGTTCATTCCCGTCGTTAGATTTTCGAGGTTCTTAAAATTTTTTAAACTAAAATATATTTTTTGAATGAATTGCTACCTCGCCCAATCAATAATTCTAATGTAATTCTTGTAATTGTATTAAAAGCCATTACAAGTTTTAAACTTATTGAGAGATAGCTACGAATATCGATTGTTACACAGAAATTTATTTGCATTAAGAATAGTTTTCAATATTAGCCTGCTCCCTGAATTACCACAAAACGATCAATTTGACTAAGCCAACCATCTAGTTACGACTTATCTATAAAGAGTACCATCTCAATATTATACTTTAAATACATGTGCTGAAACAATAATCGTTTCTAATATTAATTAAGTGCTGTGATTGATTTCTTTCTTATCGGTGTTAGTAGATAGTAGTAATTTGGTGATGCACCATAATGAACCAGTAGAACTTACCGTTCTGATATTGATTTGAAACCGTTCTTGAACCGATTTGAATTTCCTGCATACTGATAGGTGCCAGTGGCGATAAACATCCATTGCCTGATACAACATACATATCTTTATAATTTGATTTGCGAATTAATTATTATTAATAATTAAAACGAAAATTTGTTCAATCCAGAATCATATTTTGTATTTGATATTCGCTTAAACATTAATAAACTAAATAACCTAGTGTATAGAGCAACAGGAAACGTAGTCCACTATAAGATGATAACAGAAATAATTTAAAATAGTATATAGAAATGCGCCATTATTCAACATGGACAAAGATTGAACTGCAAAAATGATCTAAAAATTTAACCCACAGCCTCGATTCATTTTTAAGTCCTAATTAAACATTCATGTAAACTATAACTATGAAAGCAAAGACAATCAATGGATTGCTTTGTAGCATAAATAAGCTGCGCTTATTACCAGAAGGGTTCAGATATTTAGACCGTATGAACAACTTATTACTACTATCGATCGATCATTATCATATCGTAGTGGATGCTGTTTCCGTTCTGCCAGCGATACTATCAAAACATAACTGACCTATTGGCGGCGTGTAGAGCGAGCTCTGTGCCTGCGTCATGGTGGTGATGCTGTCGTACAGTATAGAATCAGCTGACGTCGATGAAGCGGTAAATCCCACGTGTCCAACATGGCCGACGTGTCCCACGTGGCTGTCATAGTAACCGGCGGCGGCGGCGGCGGCGGTGCCGTTCGTTGCGTTCGTTCCGTTCGGCGCGTTCGTTCCGCCGCTCGCTCCCAGCTCCGAAAGGAGTTTGTGCTCTTCCTTTACACTCCATTTACTGGGCCACAGCTGCCGATTGGGATAAACACGACCATTAGACGATTAAACGATTAGACGATTTTAAAGCACATTACAAGACATAATTCATACAGAAATTATATTAATAACAACTAACATTTGAATAGAGTTGATCGCCGTTATAATGAGTTCTTTGCCGTTTGAGATCATCATCTGCGTGGCTATTCAGGTCCCGATTTTCATCTGAAACAAAAAACATTCGTTATAATTTAATAACGACCAATAGAATTGCAAACCTAATATTTTTATAACAGGAAATCACCCAAACCTATTATTGTATGTAGTTATTTCTAACTGAACCCGTAGGTATTTTTTTAAATTAGTCTTTTATAAAATGTCGCATATTGATGATTTTTATTATTTTCCAAAATTCCTATGGAACATTAACATAATATAAAAATATCAGGTACATCTTTATATCACTTTAATAAAACGTTCATCAAAACTGAATCTACTTCTTTGTTGACCAAACTAATAGTAGTACATAATTTGTAAGATGTATTCGTAATACAAATTAAGAAAATATCAAACTTTCCAAGCAAATCAGTACAATATACCACTGGAGATTCAAACGTTTACTCTTATAAAGAAACACTTTTTAGAAAGTTGTCTGATCGTTTTTCGTAAATTTGCTAAAAAATAATCTAATATTTTATAGCGATTTTTTCTAATATTTTAATGTTTAATGAAAAAATCTTTATTTATAAAAAAGAATAGTAATAGAAAGCACATTCTAATTTTTGCAATGAATGTAATATTGAGAAGACTAACAACATCTTTATAAATTAAAAAAAAATTAAAATATGACAGTATTTAAATACTTGTTTAATATTTAAATACAAACCATAAGCAAAATAAAAATAATATCTGTTTTTACGGTAGTTAAAATGCAATCTGAAAATACATTTATAATATATAATATATATTTATATGATTATAATTATTTGAAATCGTTTAGAAATATTTATTTTTTATTTAGAATTTTAGAAACAATCGATTTGGTTAAAGAAGAATGCATGTAACTGTCTGATGACTTACGCGAGAAAATAAAAAATAGGTAACTGAAAGCTAAAGCACTAGGCCAAAAAGAAAAGGTTTGGAAAGGAAAATACATAAAAGTGTATAAAAAGTGTACAAAAGTAAATAAAATGGCAACGAAGGAATAAACAAGAAAGGAAAAGGGAATCATTGATTTGTGGTGCTAACACCATGGAATTGCTTTCGGCACTATTTATTTATCATTTATAATAGATCTTATTACAAAATGGAAAATTGAAAAAGTTACTAATAATACTGCTTTGTAGCTGCATATGTATATTATATTATAATATTTATTTGAAATCGTCTAGAAATATTTGGCAATCGATGTCGACCGTGTTCATAAAGTGTCCCGCAGCGATTGTAATACGACTATTATTCGGCTGGGGTATATAATATAATATTGTCGTATGATTGAGCTGTCGTCGCCGGTTGACAGTTCCTGCCGTCGAATTGGACGGGACGAATCGCAGTCGCAGTCGTAGCCTCAGCCTCAGCATCAGCCAGAGTAGTCCGGGACGCAAAATTTGATTAATTGACAATCGTGATCATCATGATGTTATATTACGACATTACGACATTTGGCCGGATCGCGTCGAGGAATCGAACGACATCACTGAATAATGTGCGATCTATAAATTTTGACTGCCCACGGATGTGCATTGTATTATTTGCTCGATTGAAATACGCACACACTTAAGCCAAATAATATAATCACTCAATAGCGCATGGTAGTAAAAAACTCAAATAAACAATCAACCACATGAATAATAAATTAAAATAATAAAATTACACACTCATGCATCTGTGTAGAAAGTGCAAATAATAAAACCAAATACTTATGCAAATATATAATAATTTAAAAGAAAAATTACAAAGAGCGGCGTTTTGCCTTAATGCAAGATGCAAAAACTAGAATGTGAAAATATTTGACAAGTTTTTAAAGTTTTATCAAAATCGCCATTTTTTTCTCATAAATAAATGGCATTTAAATTTTTAAAATCGGTGCAGCAGTTTTTAAGAAAATTTCGAAGAAAGGTCAAATTCATATACACATAATTACATTAATAGACACACATAATTTTTCTAATTTTTTGTCAAACTATTGAGAATGATTTGAAACGTCAAGAAAACAAAATTCTAAATAGCACTATCTGTTCTAACTATAATATCCAACAATTTCAGAATGCAATTTTTCTATGAAAAACACCGAATATAGGTAAAATGATTTATTTTGAAGTATTCGTAATCCTTGCATTTGCCTTTGTAATATTTATTTATTGTCATTAACAATAGTATTTGTAATAAATATATATAACAATTCTGCCGTAGTGATATCAATTTTACAATAGGAGATAGAATTACAAATTACGTAAATATACAATATATTAAATTTGAAAAAAATATAAATAACTAATGCAATAAAAAACAATAATTCATGAGGTTAACAATTTTTAGTAGAAATTATTTAAATCCATTCGCCATTCTTTATAAGAGCATTTATAAATGTTGAAGGCTTTTGATTCCTAATTTACTATTTCATAATATCTCTACGATAAGTTATATTCATAATATATGAGTAAATCAATAGTTCGAATAGCCTAAACATATGCGTTTGAAGTAGGAAAGTTCGGTATTTGCAATTAGCATTTGTAACGTTACAAAAGCGAATAGATGTTTTCGCAATTTCGTTTAGAGCTGCACTTGGCGCCGATATTTTAATTGGATTGGGCTTCCGCTGTTAGGATCCCTGTTAGTGGTGTATGGAATAAAGAGAAAAGGAGCAGCCGCATCCCCTCGGGGATGACGGAACCAACCCGCTGACACATTGCAACGATGTCCGGCTACGGGCATAGAGAGCACGGCCGCAACGGGATAGGCACCGACCTATGCAAAACAACAGGGATGCTAAGGCTTTTTGGCATTCTGATTCTACTATTCAGGACAATACAGATTATTAATTTATTGAGCATGTACACCGATAATAAAATCAATAGAATTCCATGATATTTAAATCAACGCAATTTTTCACTGTAAACTAGGCAGTGTCCTAAGATTTGCTACCCAGATATGTAATTTAAAATATTGTGAAATTGATAGGTATACTATCACAAATAATAGGAAATATAGTTTTGAACTATTTTGCGATGATATATATGTATATATATATTATCGCAAAACTTTCGCGTATACCAGCAAAAATATTATAATAGATACTTTATTTGCTTTTAAATATTCATGTTGCATTGTTCAGAAAACATGTTTTGTTTGTTTGTTGATTGATGCTATTAAAATAATGTTGTATACTAAACAGATCGTGCTTTTTGTTTGTCTTAAATATATAAAACATATAAACATATAGTATTATTTCAAAATATGGCTTTGATATTTTTTAACAAATTCAAATGATATAAGGTATTTTGCTAAAAGTACTGTGTATGCGATTGGTGATGGTTTAGTTACCCTAATATGTAGACAAGCAGATTCAACCACCGTGTCCATTAGTCATTTTTCACGGTGTACATTACATGATAATGGTAATGGACCATTGCCGAGTGTCCTCTCGTCTTTATGACCGGAAGGTTAAAACTCCGAGTATATGAATGAGGCAAATTAAAATCTGTTGCACTAAATTTCCCACGATTGACGTAGAGATTATTGATTTTAAGATTGTTAATATTAATTCATCAATAACTAGAACATATAAGAACATGATACGGTTAATTGAAAATCATTACTTGTTTTTCTTCAACTTATTATCATCTGAAGCATAGTACGATAAGATAAAACTTAAAAATGGTCATGTACAAACGCGCCGTGACATTTGACAAATGCCTCTTGTTGTACAAATCTGTCGCGATACAGAGCACCATCTCATCTCATCGTCGAAATATGCCCCAAAGTTGCGGTCGGGGCGTCGCGTCGTAGGTCGTCGTAGAAGTCGAGAGTCAGGAGTCGCCCGGGCGGCTCGGTTGCCCTTGGCAACGGCTTGCTGCGTCGCCCCAATCGACCGGCTATTGGTGGTCGCTCTCGCACCCGGGGAGGGTTCAACCGGTATATAACGAGAACGCGTTTCGCCTTCATACCGCGATCTCGTTCCGACGCAGGCGTACATCCCGCGATCCCGCGATTTTGCGGTCAACGAAAGCCAAATCGTCGCAATGGATGCTCTCGAAAATAGGCCGTTAAAAGCCCCTCTACTTTGACGGCAATTTTGGTCAATTTGACGATCGTGCGTTGCTCGATTGATCGCACATATTGATGTTCTTATAAGCGAAAGAATAGTTCGGTATAGTATAACGATAATAATCAATAATTGACCACATAGTTAATAAATATTTTATTCAGTTCGGTCGTCAAAAAATATAATATAAATATATTAAACGTGATAACATTATTAATTACCTAAATTAAGAATGATTAATAGCAATGATATAAAATAGCAGTAAAATATTCAATATTGAAGTTTAATAACCGCATTAAAACGTGATATATGAGAATAAATTTTCATATCTTGAGCAGTACGTATAATTAAGTTTGCATAATAACGTAGATAAAAGTTTAGTAACAGACAAAATATTATTTTTAATTAGCGGAACGTTCAAGAAAGCCCAACGATGAATATTAATTAATCGGTATGATAATACATAATACTAATGAGCTTTACAGTGAATTCATCGACATCAGAAATGTGTCTAATCTTTATCGATTTATAGAAAACAATGCGTATATAAATAACAATCATGAGTAAATCATGATTTTAATAGTTCACTTACCATGGTCATCTATTCGTTTTCGTTTGATGCTGTTCCCATTGGGGTCGGTATGGTGCTGCGGAATGCCTAGGATGCCATTGATGCTGTAGCCGGCGTTTGACGCGGCCGACGTGCGACTCTCGCCCGGTAATTGCGTGCTGTGTGCGGTTGCCGGCGCGTGAGCTATCACTGAAACGGGCCCGCCGCCTGAAACAAAATAGTAATTTATATAATATAATTTTGTTTTGAACACTATTGTAATACCCTATCAAAGAAGGTACAATACAAAATACTTAATACTTACTTAAGGTACTTAATACAAATTTTGAATTGATAAATATGATTATTATCGATAACATATTATATGTAGGATGTCCCAGAACTCAACCTTGAGCCGAAACAGGGTGATAGTATTGAACATAACTGACTTAAGAAAAATTAGAAAAATAAATTCTCACATTGTTAGAAAATTATGTGCTTTTAAATACAACAAAAAAACTTGGGTAGAATATGTCGATTTTTCGGTTATTGTTGTAATTTTTTTATTAGATTTATTCATCTGAACTTTGGATACGTAATCGTAAATTACATTTCTAGAAGCAGAGTCAATAATAATGAAACAATTGTCCCAAGTTTTCAAAAATTAAGACTTTCTCTGCAGCTATAAATTTAAAATTTTCAAAATTGGTCGACTTTAAGAGGCCCCCCTTTAAATATATAATTGAAGTGTGTTGGCAAATGTAAAATGGTCAAACTGTGGCGCATTTAATCATGATCGAGAAATATATAATGTTCATGTAAAAGCACAAGTATTATGTCACTAAATATGTATGTTTAATGAAAAATAATAATAATGTAGTGTGTAGCACTTGCACTTACTTTGGCTGACTCCACCGGCTTGTGAGTTATTGCTCGCTCCACCGTTCTGCTGTTGCTGTTGATGATGTACGTGCTTCGCTTTCTCCGCCGCTTTGTTTCGAACGATTCTGAAACAGAAATGTTAAATTACATTACATAACTCAAAATAAATAGTCACATGTATAATGTTTCTTAAACTATTAAAACTTAAAATACTACTCAAAAAATGTGAGAAACGTACAAAAAAAATGATAAAGTTGATTAACAGAATAGAAGCACCTAACTAATGATAAAAGATCGTCTAAATATTCTGTTGAATATTTCGCCAGTATTTTGTAAAGATTTTATCGATATAGGAGACATCATATTCTATAAGCTTGATTTAGGCGCTTTTGTCGTTCCTAACTAGGCTTAACTGATACAATAAAAATTGCGTAACAAATAGGTATATTAAAATAATCCCTTTCCAAAGAAAGGAAGTTATACAGTGAGGAAAAGTTGTACGTTTATCATTATCTAATATATCTAGATTTGCCGTTGTTCCCCCGTTGTAAATCGACACCAGTTGCAATCGCAATTGAACGAGTCGGCATTCTACCTTCATATCGGTTATCATATGCCACTTGAGCAGAATGCGAGGGTAAACTCTTCGCTCATATGTGCGATCTTATCTCTGATATATCATATTAAATTTGTTATTGTGAACGAACAATCATGTCACCATATGAGCATTTGCTTCCGCACTAGAATTTTGTTAATTACAGTGTAATCGTGATCAATTAATTTTCGGTCAGTTTGCTTGCCACTTGAAACAAATTGTCGTGCCATAATCACTGCCAGATTTACCATACTTGATTAATATTGACAGTGATTATTGAATTAATTAAGGAAGTGGAAATATATTTAAGTTAACAAAAAAAAACTAATAATCTTTTATCTATATATTTAAATAATACATCTTTCGCTAACAACTTTAATACTTCTCATAGGATATGATACTACAATAGAATAAAATGATTTTTATATCTAGGTTTCATGCTTTTCTAATCATTTTACTACACCTTATAAAAACAGTATAAAAGTGAGCCGGAAGAATAACTGTGCGCATCTTAAAATTGAAAACAACGAAAATAAACAATTTTAAATACTAAACTAAAGCATCTGATCTCTCTGTAAAAATGTTTGCGGTATACGACTTTGATATGATTTTATACCATCTAAGATTAATAATTTTATGTTTTCGCCAGAAACTCATATTTACTAATTTTATGTTTTCTAGACGTTTCAAGAGCAAAATTGGAAAAACCATGTATGCTTGTGTATACCTATGTGCCATACACCTTGCCCTGAGCCAAAATACTTACATCTAGTTATTTATAATTGTAATTTTTATTCATATATTATTTAAAAAACGAAGAGATTCAACAAATTGTCTAAAATCATAAGGCCATACATTAATAGTTGATTTAATGCTTCCAGCAATATAGCAGTCTGTTGGACAATTATCATAATCCCACATAAATAAAAAAAAAGTTTAACTATGAACCAGATTAAAGTGAATCATTTGCGCTCTTTAATTTGATTTATTACAGTAGCAGAATGATAAAATGTATTGAGGGAAATGATGAAACATTTTATCACACACACTCGAAAATACTGCAATCATTCAGACGTTCTCTGGCACATAAAATTATTATAGCACAAGTGGAACACGATTTGCTGAGTGCCAGAAGCCGTCTCTCGCTCAAGGGGTGCTTGTCAAAATGATTATTAGATAATAACTGTAAGCGAGGGCTGCAAATAATCAGACCTCAAAATGTACACCCGAGTCAGGAGAAATAATAAAATGGCATTGCAGTGGAAATCGAGCCGATCATTATGAGCATAAGAGTCGCAGTATGAGGAGGGGGCGTAAAAGTAAGACACTTTATGAGTATTAGAATAATAGTAATAATAAAGGGAGCTCCGCTTGAAGAAAGTTTCATGAGCGGAGTTAAACTCCAATTAGTTTCAGAGAAGTTTAATATAAAAGATTTTCTGTTGCCGTAACACCCCAGTGCCCATTAGAAATGTATTCTTGATCTATATATTTAAGTGAAATAGTAATCACTACTGTATGGTCTTAAAGCAGGAATCAAGCCAATAAATTTGTCGTGTATTACATTGTGCCTTTAGACATTTTGCTGAAACTTCTAATTTCTGAATAGATGTAAAAAATAATATGAAAGTTTACCAACAAAAATTCTAACTTTATAATTATCTAATAAATATTAACCATTTCAAAAACAATATAAAAATTAATTTATTCGAAAATTAATGAATTATTATTATTATTTTGAGCATTTTCGAAAATCATAATTCAGATAAGAAAATAATTTACATTTTTGTTGATAATGCGTAAGTTTCACTTTAAAAGTTAAAATCGACCTATACTATCAAATGAACAGTTTTTGCTTTTTTCGTTCGCATTTCGCAAACCGCTGAAGCTGCCTTCTCTAAACACAAAAAAAAACAGTTCGAATCGAATGTATCAATACATTTAAAGCGGTTGATCCGTTATTTAGAATACTTTGATAAAAAAATTGATGAACGTGCATATGTAGAAATATACTTTTTTATAAGGAGAACCTCAGGTTCACGCTTCTGGGATTTTGATGAAACTTAGAGTGATGATAGTCGAACCAAAAAATTGAAATATTATAGGCCCATGAGTATTGGTTTAATTATAAAAAATAATTTAATTAATGTAAGATATGTCTTAATCATCGAAAGATCTCAAAACGTATAAATATAGAAAAATTACCATTTTATTTTTTTCGATTTATATAAGTTACCCTGAGGGAAGTTAATAAATAAATAAATAACTACATAATCCTTAATATTTCTTCCACGCTGCCGGAGATAGATTTATTATTCAGTTTGTCATATGAGAAACATAAATATCCGCAGAAAAGCGAAAAACATAATAAATCCACGAAAAAAGCACTCCTTTCAGTGTGTTCTTTTTTCACTCAGAAAAACCAAACCTTTTCGGGTTGATCGCCGAGAGGGGTCGAGCGAGCGCCCGTCGCCCGTCGCCCGCCGACAGTCGGCGGGAAGGGCCGCGCGAAAGAAGCTGGAAAGGGCGCGGGCGAAAAGCTCCAACGCCGAGATGTTGTGGGAAATGATTTAAGAAGAGAAAAAGCGAATGTATACGGTCACGTGCCGGCACGTGTCCGGACACAGTTTTGCAATTCCGAATGTCATCGTGTGCCCTCGTATCTATTGTTGGCGGCTGCCAGTGCACGCACACGGCCGACGACATAGAAAACGCATAAATATAAACAAACTTCCCCGAAAAACACCAAACACCAAACACCATAATCAATGACATTGAAATGAAACCAAAACTAATATAAATATGACAATAATTCATTCGAATTTCATATGAATCGACCGATTTCAGATGATAATTCATATATTAATTAATATTTCCAGTGAATAACAACTTGAACGGACTCTTTATCAGCTTTTTATTTATATTCTGATAATACTTAAAATTGTTTTGTCTCAAAACATCATTGTGTAACTTTTAAGTTATAACATTTTCGCGAAACAATAAAAGCTTTTTTTTCACTCTAGTACATTATGTTTTCTATAAATTATGAACTATCAATTTGTAAAAATGTTTTAATAACATGGTGATAACATAAACGTGTTTATAAAATTATCGGATGTATAATATTTATAGAATGAGTAACTGTTGTTTCAATAATATTTTTATTAAATATTTAATTTAGAAAAGATATAGAATATGATAATAATATTTAATATTAAATTCATCAACATGTTTTCCTATATTTTTAAAAATATAAGTTTATAATTTCAAAGAAGGATGTTTTAATAACATGGTGATAACATAAACGTGTTTATAAAATTATCGGATGTATAATATTTATAGAATGAGTAACTGTTGTTTCAATAATATTTTTATATAAGTTTATAATTTCAAAGGACGGAAGTTTATTATCAGAAATATAGGCAAATTTTTGTTGAGCTATTATACTTGAAAAAAAAAATCTAAAATAAAGTTTGGTAATTATTTAGTATTTCAAGAAAATGTGTGTCAGTTAGTAGTGTTAACCTTTTAGAGAAAATAAAAAATCAGATTGGTGTTGACGCTGAGCAGAGTTCATTGGTTTCGAAATATCGAAATAAAAAGGCGAAAAATAGTCATTCTGATCAAGGATTTGAGGCTTGTTACAATGATTTTCATTATGTATCAATTACATGCTTAAATAAATAAATATAGAGTGTTCTGAATTATGGTAAGTAAATATTATAGTTCTGTTTACAGCAATTAAATAAATATTAAAACATACAGATTTTATATAATACCAAATTTATTTTAGTGATTGCAAATTCAGTAATTGAAAATTTGATAAAAACATGAAAAATGTATTGAAGTATTCAATTTTCGTGCAATTCAAAACGTGTGTTAAGTCTAATTTCTAATATTAATGACATAATGTATATCCGCTTAATTAGTTAAAACATTAATCAAACCTATTATCTAACGAAATTAGAACTTAACTAGTTGGTATTGGTATTTTGCCTTGAGGCAAGTTATATGAACTTCCCGATATGTGTAAATAATCGACTTAATCAATAAAAAATAAATTTATTTATGAGTGATTAAAAGTATTCCGAGTGGATTTATTATACATGATTGAAAACGAACGAAGACGTTAACTCGCACTATTTTCTAAAAACTAATTTTCAAAATCAATAATTTTTATAAGTAAATCGCCGAATTTTAATTTTAACAAACGTCGAAAAAATTACTCATTTTCTCAAACCTTGAATTTTTAAAATTAAACTACTTGTCGTAATGATATATATCGCCAAAAAAAGTTTCATAAAAATCGGCTTAATTTTTTTTTTCAGCAGTTAATTACAAGAAAACGGCTCGGTAGATTTTCACCTAAAACTAATCAGTATCATTCCTAACTAATATCTTTCGAACAGTTTTTGATTTTTTAAAATCGATTCGATAGTATGAGCTTAAATATGGACGAAAATTTTAACACTTTTTTCCAAATTACAAAGAAACGTCTCGGCTCATCGTCGGACAAAATGACAAACGATA